GGTTAAATTTTTAAGTTTTTTATTAATGCATAATTGTACATCCTTGTGAGGTATGTTTGATGATTTGATACAAGACTATGGCTGTAACAATCAGCATTTCCATCTCCTTAAACATTTCTGGAGCTCCTGTTTTCTTCCCTTCTAACAAAGAAAATCTTCATCCATTTAAAAACCAATGACTGAGCCAAAATGATTAACTGTTGTCATCTGCAAGCAGGCAGGATGCCGTGCAGGGAACTCCAGCTATATCACATACTACAGACAGTGCATAGCTCTCCTCCTGGCTCAGTCATCCCTACACCCACAGGACTTGGAAACTCGCCCCTCCTACCCAGGCCCGAACCATGCCAGTCGTTTCTAAGCCGTGAACATCTCGCACCCATACCAAAGATTAATTAAGCACACTGTAGTTTTTAAAGGTGTGTCCAGTAGCTGCTATGCTTTGTTTCAGACATAATGAAAGACAGGGAAGAGTAACTTCGTTAATTAGTGTCTGAGTAGAAGGGCAGACTGTGGCATGGTTTTCCACGTGGTTAAATGAAAGAAACAGGAGAAAGGATTATGGTGCTAATTCATTTGGTTCTGAATATGTTGCTAGTTAAATAGCTGAGGGATAATTACATCCCTAAACCCTTCCCTGGTTCAGTGTCTTAAGAATTGTGTTCATCACCATTAATTATCCATGCAAGTAGCTACTGACGAAACAGATGTCAAACCTGAGGGAAAGGAGTGATGTGGCAGCCTAAGAGGAATGCAGCCATGCTTATCCCATGATGTCTGTGTTTCCAGCACTTTTGAGAAGGTAGAGTCCACACAAGTTTTAAGATGTGGGTGATTTTAGACCCACAAGTACTAAAACTCTTATCTGTTCATTTTGGATTATCACACTTCCAATGTACCTGAGTTCACTACTGTGCCCTCCTTATCTTAACATAAATAGCCTCTCCTCTCCGTATCTTTTCAAACTGAGACATCCTTTTTGGGATTTGTTCCTTTTGGGTTTTCTGTGGTGTGAGTAAATGGAACAGTTAGCCAGCAAAGGCTATATGATCATGACATTGGGTTGTTACCCAGAGGTTCATCTTTAGCTTTGTGGCCCTGCCCACTGGAAGGCCACAGCCTATCTTACTAAGTCTTAAGAGAGGAGAAGGGAAGGGGTGAGAAGAGAAAAGGTGAAGGAGAAATGAAGGCCGAGTCAGAACTATCAATTGCTGTAAATAAAAATTAGTATTGTCAGCTTGACAGGATGGAGCCTCCTAAGAGCCAAGTCTCTGGGCACAGCCGTAAGGGATTATCCAGATCAGGTTAGTCTCTGGGCACAGTGAGGGAGGATCATTTTGATGATGTTTACTGAGGCAGGAAGACCTGTCCACTGTGGGTGGCATCATTCCCTGACTGGGATCCTGGATTGTTAAATTCTAGAAAGAGCCAAGCAGCCACAGCCATTCATGGTTCCCTTCCGAAGATGAACTTCATGGTGGGACCGCAGCCTCAAGCCCTGCTTCTCCCTCATGATGGGCTGAGAGCCAGAAGAAGCTCCTCCTCCCTGATCACAGCACAGAAAAGTAACTAGGACAGGAAGGAAATGCTTCCAAGGAGCCAGGCACTGGAGTGAGCACATCTTCTGTCTTTTCTCCTGTTACTTATGTCCTGAACAGCAGATAGGGTGCCAGGGAATAAGTTCCCAGAAGAATCATCTTACTAAAATGTAAAAGAAACAGATCATTGATTGAGCAATTTGTTAACTATTTTTAAGTCTTAGTATTTCTTATCCCCACCCCCAAATTCATCTTTTAGGTTCCTATCTTATTGAATGGCATGATTAATATTTTCCCCACAGTAGCTGTTGTATAGAAAAACTAAATTTTTGTGTTAGTGTGTCCTATCATTGTAAGAAATACCTGAGAAAACCAGCTTAAGATGGGCAAACTGTCCTGGCTCGCAGGGGCGAAGGTGTGTCTTGGTGGGGAGGCTGTGATGAGCTGATGGGAACACACAGTCAGGAAGCAGGGACAACACCTGCACTAGCTCTCTGGCTTCCCGCTCTTTTTCATTTTATTCCACCTGAGCCTCCAGAGTAGAGGACAGGCTGCCCTCACTCAGGACATCTTCACCTCAGTTAATCTGCTCTGGAAACTCCCTCACAGTTACAGGGAGGGTCTTATCAGAACCATCAAGGTGACAGTCAAAACCAGCCATTACCATTTCCATAAGTAACTAACAACCAAATGAATTATAGCCACACAGCAGCAGGCCATCTTGGGACAGGAAGCTGTCAGGAAGAACAAGATTCATTTTTTAATGGCTTTATTATCATAAGTTATGTATGGAATGGAACCGGGAATGATGTTTTCATACCTGTATATGATGCACTTTGACCCTATTTGCCCCTTATTACTTTCTCTCATCCCCCTCCTACTCCTGCTGGTTGTCTTCCTCTTCCCCATGAAGCCCACCTTCTACCTTCTGCTTTCTTAAAATTGGTGACACAGTGACTTTCACTGGGGTTGCTTACAGGAATGTGAGAGGGTGGCCATCAGAACACTGGCAATTCACTGCTGTATGCAACCACTGGCTGCCCACATGCTCACGCTAAGTAGGGCGAGCTGCTGCATTCAGTGCATAATTAGCAGAGCATGTGATCCCAATGCATACAGTGCCCACATCAGCCAGAGACAGGCACTGACTTCCCTGAACGAGAGTTACAGTTGTGAGCAGCCATGTGTATGTCGTGCACTAAACCTGGGTCCTACGCAAGAGGGACAAGTGTTCTTGACTGCCGAGCCATTTCTCCAGTACCTGCACCCCCACCCCACCCCACTCCACCTCACCCCACCCCAACCCAACCCACCCTACCTAACCCCACCCCATCCCACCCCACCTCACCCCACCCCAACCCAACCCATCCTACCTAACCCCACCCCATCCCACCTTACCTCACCCCACCCCAGCCCACCCTACCCTACTCCACCCCTCCCCTCCCCACTCCACCCTACTTCACCCCACCGCATCCCACCTCACCCCACCCCACCCCACCTCACCCCACCCCACCCCACCCCACATCACCCCCAGTATATTTGTTTTTTGAGATGGGGTCTCCCCATGTAACCCAAGATGGGCTTTAGCTCAGGGTCTTCTTGCTTCCGCTTCCCAAGTGCTGGGAGTGCAGGCACCGGCCAACACACCAGACTCAGAAGTAATTTTTTTTTTCTCCAAAACTATTTGAGTGGTTTAATTGTTCTTTGCAGGACCTTACACACACAAGCGATCACTCTGCCTGTCAGTGTGTTTTGTTGTTGTTTGTGGAAGTATTTTGATTGACTGCAGTACTTGCTTATGTACCTAGCTATAAATGATTTTAATTCCTAATGGTTTTGTGATCTGAGAATATGATTCATTTACTAAGAGAACCTATTCTTCAAATAGATAGTAAAAATAGAGACAAACTGAGAGATTTTAAAGTAAAATTAAAATACAGGTTTATAACTATTAAATTTCGTAAAATATCCTAAAATTTTTATTTATGAAAATTTCCCATAAAAAAACTACCAATCTATGAATATGTTATCAAATAAAATTTCTTTAAAGAATGTAACTTCCTGAACAGCTAAGTTTGCCCCTGCCCAGGAAGCTGCCCTGCTCCCACCCAGGTCTGGAAGGGCAGCCACACCTGCCTGTCACCTGGTGATGGCCGTTCAAGGCTCTGCCTGCCTCCACGCCTTTGCCCACTCTGCCCCTTGGGTTGAATTCTGATTCATCTCCCCAGACTAAACCCAAGAAGTCACCTTGTCTGTGAAGCCTTTATTTCTTTTATTTTTTTCATGGAGGTATGATAACACATAAGAAAGCGCATGATCTTCAGAGTGTAGTGATGAGCTTGGACGGCGCACAAGTACACAGCGCATGAAGCCCTGCCACACCCGGTGCTGTCCGTGTGACTGAAACCAGCCCAGATCCTCCCTTATGCTCACACAAGCAGCCTGTCCCCAGGACCTATCTTCTCGGAAGAAATGATATGTACTGAGTTCAGCTTTGATGCAATCACACTTCCTCGTGCACTGGGGATTATGTTACACCAGGAAACTTTTTTTTTTTCCAAATTATACTGTATTTAAATATACTGGCAATAAAACACCTGGCATCAGACTCCCTGAAGTCTGATCCAGGTTGACGAGGCCGATCTGAAACAAGTTTTTGTTCTCCTCTCTTTGAGGCTCGTCTCACTGCCCATCTACACCTGCAGGGCCACCCTCACTCCTCCCTACTGGCTGTCTACAATGGGTCACACCAACATGAGGCCTCCCCGTCACAGCTCTCTCAGGGTGGAAGACCTCCTGACACACAGCTGACTTCCTTCAGAGCAAGCTTCCCAGGAGAACCAGGCGGAAGCTTCCAAGATTTAGCGAACCCTTCTATCAAGATGTGCTGGGAAAAGCATACACAGCTTCCCGGAGTCACACAGAGGGCACACACAGCCCGCCCGCTGATGAGAGGACTGGTAATGTCCTACTGTGGGGAGGAGGCGGGATGAAAGATGGTACAGGGCTCTCTTGGAAAACATGCTTTGCCACAGCTATACCCTTAAACTGCTACACTTAGGAATGCCACGGGGATACTGATGGTAAAGGCTGCAACTGCAAAGCTCCTCTTGGAGACAGCAGCAGCAGCACGTATCAGAACACAGGTGGGATTCAGTAGGAAAACTAAATAGGCAGATTCATTTTCAAGTTCGCTTTATTTGAAAGTTTTCTTATTCATTGCAGTTTTAAAAATTGCAATTTATAACTCCCTAGCAGTAAATGCTTAAAGACTCTGCAGCCACACGGAACCAAATGGATAGTCTTACTGATTATGCTATCCAGGGAGACTCTAAGAATCTCCACATGAATGTTATGCGTATCATAAAACTTTAATTAACTGATTAAGGACCCTTAAAAAGTCTCTCGTAAAAGTGACCATCCCACGAGGTCTACCTCACACAGGCATTGTGCCAACTGTACCTGGCTCTGCGAATATGTAGCTGAGGGTAGTGGTCCTCCCTGCGACAGATGTGCACTGCAAAGTCATCGGTGTAGGACAGACATGGCATGTTCCCCACTTGGTCAAATACAGTTATCAGAGTTGAGCCTAAACCGCAGAAACAAAGACGCCCTGGTTTAATCAAGGGAAAACTTTGGGACTTCAGAACAAAATGTGGTCCCATTCCATCTGAGTACTGGTCTTAAGCAAGTACACACCTGACACGCCTGGCGACCAGCCTTCGCTCCCACCCCCAAGCTTGCTACTTGCATCCTAAGTCCCTGCCTGCTCCTGGGGACACCCGGCTGCTGTGGACCTTACCGAGGCTCACGTATGTCGGCACTATCAGGAATATGAAGTACAGTTCTGGTACCGCCTTGAACACAGTCCTGGGGAGGAAAGACAGAGAGGGACAGGGTTAACAACAAAGCAATCACATTCTCTACCCCTGAGAAAACGAGAGGTCTGGAAAATCACTTGGGCTCAGTTGCTCCCTGCCTGCCAAAGCCAGAGCATCTCCTAGGCTATTTCTCCTTCAATTCCAAAGAGCTCCTCTCTTGTCTGTCTGTCTGGTGGAGGTTGAAAGAATAAAAGGCACGATGCCCAAGCAGCACACCAGATTTCTGCTGACATTAACCTTTGACCTGGCATCTGGATGGTCTGGTGTGACATTACAAAGTGACTTAAAAGCCGAGCCACCAACCCCCACCCCGACCGAGGTCTGCACAAGCTGTCAGAGATGCATCGCCACGACTCGTGGCCTTGCTCATCATCTTTCCACACACCCTGTTATTCCGGACGCTTCTGCAGGCTATCGCGTCAATACAAACTTCTAATAAGATGAAGGAAATCTCCTCTTGAAAACATGCAAGTTTGTGAGGCTTGACTCTTTCCTGACCATCCCAATCCATTTCTTTACATTGCTGCACTACCTCCTGGCCTCAGATGGTGGCAGTTTAAAAATGGGGGCTCGATAGAGACCAAAGTTTAAAAAATCAGATTATTTTCATTCAGAAATACTGCTGCTTTAAAAGTAGGAGGATTAATATTAGGATAAACTGTAAGCAAATTAAATGCTCCAGAAAACTTCATACCGGTTGAGAAATATCTCCAAAGGCATCTTTCATGACCCTCCACTCACCGAATGATCTCTTTGAGGCAGCCTGTGGCATACTCGTCTACAGTCACGAAAAAGTGCAGAAACAGCGTGTTCAGAGGCTGCGGCAGAAAAAAAGAGCTTGAGTGAAAGGCTGGACCCCGACAGAGCAGGGCTCAGAGCAGTCGCAAGGGAAGAGCTGGACAGCTCTTGTTGGTGACAGCTTACATCAAGGTGATGTGACACCCAGGTAACAGTTTAAGTGTTCTCCTCACTTCACGAAGCACCTTCTGTCTGATGTGCACAGGATTACTGAAGGAAACGAGCATTATGAGTCTAGAGTGCCCAGCCCCTGCTCCTGCCCTCATGGATGAACTGTGGATAGAAGAGCCTGCAGGGGAGTGAAATCGATTATGGACTCCATAGTCTTGCCTTTGGGGGTGTCTATGCCGAGCGAAAAACAATCACCCTTTCCCTGGGGCTCCTGAGCCAGCAGCTGCTGCTGTATTCATGGGACACAAGGGAAAGATTCTCCTATGAAATTGAAGAATGGAAGGCAGATGCTGCATTAGGAATCCAAAGGCTTTTTCTTGTTCAACATTCCCGGAGTCCAAATCAAATCATTACTCCTGGGATCCAGAAAACCTGGGAGTTAAAAAAACTCAAGAGAAACAAGATTCTCACAAGGCTTTCAGCAGCCAAGTTTTAAAAGAGCTTCATCCTCTAAGTTTTGTGGATTAACTGACCTAAACAGTAGTAGGTCCCTTACTGCCTTCTTACTGCCATCTCTTACAACACTCCCTTACTGCCATCTCTTGGTCCCTGTGCTCATGGGCATTCTAGAAATAACACACATGTAGCTGACTGGTGAGGGAAGGTCTTGCATTTCTATTGGGAAAATGGGAACCCTGTGCTTCTCCATTTCTTAGCAAAGCTGCTCCTTCCTCCGGATCAGTTTCAGATGCTGGTTCCAGGACCTCTGTAGATACCAAGATCAATGTATGCTTAACTCGGCCCCAGTATCAAATGGTGTAGTGTCTGTGTACAGCTGGCATATGTCTCTAATGTGCATTACTTATTGTGTTTAACAGCATTCAAGTGTGACTTCAGGGGGTGTTCTACCGTGTGGTTTGGAATAGCAAGGAAAAGCTCTTGATGTGTTCAGTACACGCACAATTTTTAAAAACACTTTTCCTTGTCAGATGGATCCATGGCTGTGGACCCTGAAGGTGAAGAGCACTGACTGTAGTTTTCTGGGTAGCCTGGGGTTAACAGCTACACAGCCCTGTGCTGGCTCCACTTCTGGGCAACAGAGTGTGACTGGAGGCACTCAGCAGAAACTGGCAAGAGAAGAATTGAGTGTGACCTGTGGCCTTGAAAATTCCCCAAAAGTACACACTCCAACGTCCGGATAACAATAGACAATAGGGCTCTGAGCACTTCTGTGCACTAGTGCTTTAATCCCATAACCTTTCTCAGCATCTGCTTTGCAGTGAACAGGGCTGGTCTTGCAGTACATGGCTTACTCCTGGCTTGACTTATCCAGAAAATTTAGGATTTACGCTTTAAACATCTTTAAGACAAAAACCATTACTTCGGTTGCAAATGTTAACGGGATAGAAAATACACTGAGGATGAATTAAGGCATAATCAGTGCTGCTCAGCAAAAAATAATGTTACTTACAAATGCAACCCCAAACGTAATTCCTCGTTTTCTGGCAAGTACATTGAAAAAGAAGAGAGTTGAGGCTGGGGAGATTTCTCAGTACGTAAAAGGGCCTGCTGTGCAAGATCTGAGTTCAAATCACCCAAACCCTATAGAAAAGCCAGACATGCAAGTCAAGCCTGCCTAGACTTCTGGCATTCCTACAGGAATGTGGGAGGAGGAGAAAGGCAAATTCCTGAGAACTTGAAGCCCAGCTGGCTTGGCATGTGCAGCAGAAAAACAACAAAATGAGAGCCCAGCACAAATAAGGGGGAGGCAAGGACTGACACCTGAGGTTGGCCTGACCTCCACAGACATGCCACAGCATATATGCATCCACATTCACACGTGTAATGTGCCTGCACGGACACGCCATAGTCATAAGCACACACACACATACAAGATAAGGACGAGTAAGCATGTTGACTTCAAACATTTTCTTAACCTAATATGTTCATTATATAATTAACACATAGTATGAAAATTACTGTAATTGATTATGAATTTACTTTGAGACAATGTCTTGTGACAGAAATATGGCTGGCCAGTTACTCACTATATAATATAAAAAATATATTTTTAATATAAAAAAATCACTAATGACATACTTCATTTTTTTGTACTAAGTACTTTTTTAATTCTAGTTTATATTTTATATTTACAGCACATCCCCGTTTAGACTAGCTAACTTCAAAATCCATAATGGCTTCCTGAAATCAAAGGTGCCATACTCTACCAGGGCATCTTAAATGTCACAGAATATGACTAAGTCTGAAGCTCTGTTGTCATTTCTAGGGCACCTGCCTAGGTGACAGAGGCCTTCCTAGTAAACTACAAACCTCACACCAGGACACACAGACAACAGTGGGATCCTGACACATGAATTCCTTGCTTGCAGCTCTTGTTAATTTAAGAGCATGTGGTGAGCCTTGGGGGCAGATGGCTGATGGGGCCAACATATTCCCATCCTATATGCTCTGGCCTCCTGGGCTCCAGCATTCTATCACTTTGTTTTTACCTGTTAGGATGTTTTCTGCATGAGTGTGGGATTTCTCTCCCCAGAAACTGAAATGACACTGGTGTGAAAGCAGGCCCTCCCTTCCACAGTAGGAATGTGCTTTCTTACTGTGCATGGGATCTCGCTGTCAAGTTCCCGGAACACAGACAGCCAGTCCTCCTGCTTGGCAACATTCCAGTTGGGATAGTCCACAAAGATGGCGCTGGCCATGATCTCCTCCTTGTCATTGCAGAGGGTAACAGCGAGGTTTGCCTTCTCTCTGTGAAGACAGTGAAGAGGCACACGTGAAGAGAGGCTAATCTTCCTCAGGCTACCGGAGCTTCGGACCTGCTGCTGATTACACCTGAAGTGGTGAGAATGGCGCCGCTAAAAGTCTGAGCGTGCTTCTTCAGGGCATATGAAGCTATCAATCAAGCTGTTATTTAAAATTACATTTCACCAGAAGTGCTGTGAAACCTTCCTGCCTTCACACACTAGGCAGAAGACCCTTCTTTTTCTCTACCGACTCCAAGGTAGCAAGACCACTGTGCTGACATGCACTCACTCAGCTGCAGTGGCCACCTGTCCTTCGCTTGAGACTGAGGTAATACTCTAGACAGAAGACTTCATGCTGAAAGCCTGCAAAGTACCGGGCAAACTGAAATGGGCTGGTCTCCTGCTCATGGTGGCAAAGCTGCATTCTTACACAGATGTTCTAAACCCTCAGCCCAGGTTCCCAAGAATGAGTTCACAGAAAATCTGAGCACCTGTGGTCACCAGTTTGCTTTCTATTGCTTGCTAAACCCCAGGACCAGAAGCAACTGGGGGAGAGAAGGGTTTGTTTGTTTGTGACTTCTAGGTCACAGACTATCTCTGTGGGAAGCCAGGGTAGGAACCCGAAGAAGAAACCACAGAGAAATGGCGCTTACTAGCATGATCCCAGGCTCACGTGCAGCACTCACCTATGCTTGAGGGTGGACCCTCTTCTCTCCTTCTGCTGTCCCCCTCCCCTGCTTTCTCTGCCTAGGGATCGAACTTTGAACCCAAAGTTTCACCAGTGCTAGGCAAGTACTCTATCATCAAGTTATATCTCTAGCCCCTCAGCTACCTTCTTTTAAAGATTTATTTTATTATTATTATTTTTTAATGTGTGTGCTCATGTGGAACCTAGAGGTGTTGAATATGCTGGAGATGGCTGGGAACTGAACTGGGTCCTCTGGAAGAACAAGCGCTCTTGAGCGATGGACGATCTCTCCAGCCCCAAGCTACATTTCTCAGCCCAGGTCCCACCTGTGCATGGCACCGCTCAGTGTGGTGTGCCCGCCTCTATCAGTTAGAAATCAATAGAATACCCATAGCCACGCCCCCAGGCCAAGGTGATGGCGGCTGTTCCTCAGCTGAGGGTCCTTCTGCCCTGGTGTGCCCACTTGACAACCAAGACCAGCCATCACAGGCAGCATCGCCTGATACAGTTGCAGAGATAGAGACACAGAGGGGTCTTGTGGCGGCTAAGGTTTCCTGGCACTTTAATCAGTCACAGTATGAGAAGTAGAAGCCTTCCAGCTCCTACAGTGGTTGGCTGTCCCAGGGGACTACTTCAACTATTCTGCCTACCTGCCAGTCTTGTGGCACAGCAAGAAGGCAAAAGTTATGACTTAGAGTCAGTATACAGCTTGTCATAGGAAGAGCATTTGGTATTAATTGAAAAGCAATTTCCACTTGCTTAGCTGAATGAAATTAAAGAATCCTTCAGAATCATGTGTCAGGAGTTACTATATCCCACACATGACTGATGACTGTCAACAGTCTCCTTCCCCTACCTTGACTGCCTTTGTCAGAAGTAAATTCTCATTATTTAGCCCAGGTTGACCCCAAACTCACCACCTTCTTGCCTCAAGGCACCTAGCTCAAACTTCTCTTTGTTGAGGGTAGTTTTACATTAGAATATGTACTTTGTACGTTTTTAAAATGTAAATGCAGGGGCTGGAGGGATGGTTCAGCAGTTAGGGCACTTGTCGCTTTTGCAGAGGACCCAGGATCCATTTTCAGCCCACAAAGTCATTTACAACCGTCGTCACTCCAGTTCCAGAGGATCCAATGCCACTTTCTGATATCCAAGGTACACATACATACATGCAGGAAAAACACTCACACACATAAATAAATTTAAAAAAAGAAAAGAAAAATAAATTTAAGTGGGAGTCCGTACTGTATGTAGCTCTGGTTTTTCCTTTTGATCTCAAATCATTTGAAACAATTCATCAAACAGCATTCTTTTACATACACACATACATCCTATACATTACCTTTATAATTTTCTCTTCATCAATTCACGTTGGGCTTTAATAAGAATATTTTAGGAGGAAATATACATCATGTGAAAGGAGTCTCCTCTCCTATCAATAGGAAATAACTATAAAAACAAGGACCACACATTTAAAACTAAAACTGCATGTATGTGTATGAGGCAAAAATCTCTCTGGAATCCATTATGTTTATGGACATGTTTAGGAAACACTGTAATTAGGATGTCAATCCCAGTACCCACATCTTCTACCCCACCCCCCAATCTTGGGAAAATAAAAACAGTAACACAGATCTTCCTTCTCAGCCATGGAGAAAGGACAAACGTGGTCCAAAAACCCTACATAATCCAAGTCTAATGAAAGACAGGTCCTGTAGATTTCTAGAATATAGTATCCACACAGGGGATCCACTGACAAGAAATGCAGGCCCAGAACTTCTCAACTCAACAAAGACTTTGTCTCTCTCTCTCAGGACTCTCCGGCCCTAGGCCATAACCTATGGCTGAGAACCATTTCTCTAGTTTGTATGAGAAAACACATCACACCAGATGCTGCACAAATATCGGATATGATGATCACAGTAGTGCTGGGAAGGAAGAGGTGGGCAAGAAGTGAGGACAGGAAGCTGCTGTCACCCCTGGGAAGCAAGGGACAATGTGTTCCTGGAATCTCAATTTTAACTTGAAACGCATTTATCCATGGGAACCTCAGGGTGGTGGTTGGGCTCTATAGCACAATTAACACGGTACCATACTGCACAGACATTATGGATTAAATAAGCTTTTGTGGGTTGGCCTGGGAAGCCAGCCAGGAACAACTTTGTTTCAATGGGGGAAAATGCACTGTAATTTCTAAATAGCTGCCATAATAAAAAGCGACTTCTGTAGCATTATTCTTTTGTGGACATAATTTTCATTTGTTATTGCCCCTTAGTCATTGTGCCCTTGGAGGGGCAGATAAAAACCGTTCTGGGATCAAAGGGGGAGGGTGTGAAGAGGGCAGATAAAAACCATTCTGGGATGAGAGTGGAGTGGGGAGGAAAATGGCAGAAAGAAAGGGCCTGCTTTTAAAAGATGGATTTTTAGCTGTTCTTTATAATAATCCAAATTCAAGCGATAGGAACCTTAGATACATATAAGGAGCAAGTTTGTGTATATGCGTGACACATGAATATACTGTGTGTGTGTGTGTGTGTGTGTGTGTGTGTACCTCACACAAACTTCAGTAAAGCTCAAAGATACTGCCCAGCAATGGAAACCAGAACTCCTTTCTTTGGAGTAACAAATGTCTTGTTTGTTCCACTGGCTTAAACTTTCCAAAGGCAGGTGAGACTCATTTCAAGAGCACTTAGTGGGAATCTTGGTGAGGTAGCATCCTTTCTGCTTTGTTTAAATAAGTGATCGAGAGACCTCAGTGTTCCCTTGAATTCATCACAGGTGGGAGGGCAGGGCAAGGCTCTGTCCACCCTGGCCACTGTGTGATGTCTGCTCTCAACATGGGAGCTGCAGTCCCTGCCCTTAGTCTGCTTGTTTTCATCCCGACCAGTTTTTAATATTTTTTTATTTTTATGTACATGTGCTGTTTGGCCTACATGAATGTCTATGTCAGCGAGTTGGATCCACTGGAACTTGAGTTACACACAGTTGTGAGCTGCCATGAGGGCGCTGGGGATTAACCCGGGTCCTCTGGAAGAGCCAATGCTCTTAACTGCTGAGCCATCTCTCCAACCCCCCACACCTCAACCAATTTTTAAGGGAGATCAATTTTACTCATTTCTCCATCTCTGTGAATGAGGAAAAAAAAGATGAGAAAAGAGATTACTGTTTTTAGAAATGTCTCAAAAAAGAATCAGTCATTAAGCCTTGAGTCAGCCTGAAATTAGCCTGCAAAATGAAAGAGGGATAGATTTGGGAGCAGATATTCTTGAGAATGCAGGAAATGAAAATGTGAATGTACCTTTCCTGCTGAAAGTATGCTGGCTTCCAAAATTGGCCCCAACCGTTATAAGGGTCACATTTTAACACAAGTGTTGTTGTGGCCCTGAACTCCACAACACTCTTATCTTGCTCTCCCAAGTGCTGAGGTCACCGGCATTGCACCATCTTGCCTGACACAGAATTACATTCTCACTACACCTGCTTCACATGTCAGAGCTGTACTTTCCTCTCTACCAACTGAAGACGTAAAAAATTACCTCCAAAACTGCTCCAAGACTCAGCTTGCCATCAGGACTGACTGACTGCTGAATGTTGAGCCTTCGGGCAATTAATATGTGACTTAATTAGTACAGGATTTGAGAAAATAGGTTTGTGGAAGCTTTTGAGGAAGAAGAAATAGAAATGAAGGTGGGCCTCATTTTTAAGACACACACCCTCTGCAGTCCAGGTCTGAATACCAGCCACCCTTGGGGTCCAAGGAAGAGGCAGCTGCATCCTCTGTAAAACCTGCTCCAGCCAGAAGGAGCGACTCTGCAGTTGTAGGAAGTGAGGTTGAGTGAGGATGGACCTAGATTCCGATGGGAGCTGGAGTTGTCGGACTGACTGAGGTGGAAGGAAAATGAAGGCAGGCAAAGGCTACACTAAGTCTAGAGTATCTGCTGGTGACCCAAGGAGCCGTATCTGCTGGGAAGTCAGATAAATGAACTTGGTTGGAGGTCTGTCAGCAGTGTTAGATACTAACCACCTTGGCCACAAACTCATCCAAAATTAGTATGAGATTTTATAAGAGGGGAAGTTGCTCTGCACATCTATGGTCTTATGTGTGCTGGTTTTGAAACGTGGCCGCAGGACCACTTTTGGAACAGTACAGCCTTTCTCTGAAGCCCTTTCCAGCTTTGTCTTCATCAAGCTTTCACACACACACATGGGTGCCCTCCAACCCCTCACTGAGAACTTGTAACTCTCTCTGTAGACCAGGCTGACCTTGAACTTACAGATATCCTCCTGCCTCTGCCTCACAAGTGCTGGAATTAAAGGTCTGAGCCACCACAACACGGGTCTCTTTAGATGGTACAAGTTGGCCAATCAGTGGTCTGTCAATATCTTGGCTATTCCTATCTAATCCAAGAGTTCTACCCAGGAATCGTGTTTTTCTTCTTCCTGATTGTCTGGGTCTCTTCCTTTGCACATGAAGTTAAATTTGTGTTATCAAGTTCAATAAGCAATTCTGGGGGAAATTGTGGAGATGGTTGGCTTTGCCCATTTATGATTTTAAATCTTCACATCTAAAGGGTGGTAGGCTTCTTGATTTATGTATTTTTTCCTTAATATTGTTCAGAAATTGACTATGTCCTCCATGAGCACTGGCATAACTGGGTCTGTTTTAGAGTAGGCACTTGCTGTGGCCTAAGTGTAAATGCCTAACATTTCCCAACTATCCACGGCTAGTTTTGTTTATGAAAATGCAGTTTGCTTCAATTTAGTGACTTGGCAGCTGGCCACTTTAAACATTGACATCTAATGATCATTTTTACATGTTCCTTCTGATTCTCTACATAGTGAATAAATCACCCCAGGCTCCAGGAACATCATGGAAGAGGGAGTTAAAAAAAAAAAAAATCAAGGGCTAAAAAGATGGCTCAGCAGTTAAGACCACTCACTGCTCTTACAGAGAACCCACGCTCAATTCCCGTCACCCACATGGCAGCTCCCAACCATCTGTGATCTCAGTTCCAGGAAAAATCCTCATACATAGAAAAGAAAGTATTTTTTAATGTAAGGAGGATGAGAAGAGGATCTCTGAAATACTGTGTTCTGGACAGGACAAGCCCATGTACTCGTGAACTCACTGCAGTTCTGATTAACTAGACAAGGTTGAGAGAACAAGCGAGTCAACATTCCAGCAGGCAGGACTACTACACTCAGTGGGTTAGAAATGGAGAGGGTGCGGGACACAGAGGTGGGAAGGGATGTTCTAGGGGAGTGGGAAGAGGGAGTTGGGTAGACTTGACCAACACTTATTATATACATGTACAAAACGGTCAAAGAATAAACATTGAAACAAAATGAAAAATAAGTAATTTGCCAGTAAGTAATATATTTTGTTTTCAACCATCAACATATACTGTTTTATTTTACTTTAGTTTTTGCTGTTTTGAGAAAGAGTCTTCCTATGTAGCCCAGGCTGGCCTTGAACTCACAATTCTCCTGCCTTAGTCTCCCAAGTTCTGGGCTTACAGGTATGTACCATCACACATCGCATGTTTTATTTCTGACTGCAATAGTTAAGACAACCAGCTCAATGTCAAATAGAAGTCGTGGTGACAGGTAACTTCACCGTGTTAGAGTAAAGGGACTCTTGTAACCATTTCATGTTATGGCATGAAATGGTTTTATAACCTCAGCATATTAAAGGAGTTTTCTTATATTGAGTTACATTAAATTTTATCAAATGTTTTTGGGTTACTGAGATCACTTATACTCTTCCTTTAATCTGCTGCCAATGTAGCAAATTAATAGCTCTCTCTCTCTCTCTCTCTCTCTCTCTCTCTCTGTGTGTGTGTGTGTATGTGCACAAGTGTGTGTCTGTGTGTGTGTGTGTGTGTGTGTGTGTGTGTGTCTGCACATCCAGACAGAGGCAGATGTCTTCCTCAGTTATGTTCCATCTTTCTGAGGTATGGTCTCTCACTGAACTCAAAGCTTACCATCTTTACAAGCTTCAGGGCTTCTCCTGTCTCTTCCCTAGCACCAGTTTTTGTTTTCTATTTTGTTTTGAGGTATTTGGCAGGGGCGGGGAGGTATTGGTTTTTCAAGGCAGGGTTTCTCTGTGTAGTCTTGGCTGTCCTGGAACTCACTCTGTAGACCAGGGCTGGCCAAAAAAAGAAAAAGAAAGAAAAAGCCAGGTGGTGGTGGTGGCTTGTGCCTTTAATCCCAGCACTTGGAGGCAGGGGCAGGTGAATCCCAGTACAAGCATTACAGGCATGAACCTCCACATGCAGCTTTTGACCTGAGGACTGGAAATGTGAACTCGTGTGACAAGCCCTTTGCTCAGTGAGTCATCTCACCAGCCCTGATTAATGCATAACGGTAAACTAACCTTGACTTCCAGCATCAACTCACCTTGATGATGACGTACTATGTTGTATTTGTATGTGTGGTGGATCATGTGTGCGGGTACAGGGTGCCTGTGCTCATGCAGAAACCAGATGGCATTCAGTGTCCGCTAACACTCTCACTGGCTCCTTGGAGGGACCCCTAGATAAGGCTGGAGCACAGCAGACCCAATGATCCTTGTCTCGGACCTCCTCAGTGCTGGGTTCCAGGCAGGCATGAGACCATGTCCAGGCTCTGGGTGCTGAGATCCAAACACCCATCCTCCTGCCTGAGTCTCAAGTGCTCGTTACTGCTGGACCATCTGTCTAGCCCTCATCTGCACTGAGGTCTGCTGGAACCTGAGAACTAGCGTGCCATAGGCTAGCTCCTTAATTTTCTGCTACGTCCACCTCCCTTCTCCCTTGTGATAAGGCCTCTCTGGGTAGTTTCTTCACAGGGATTCTCCAGCAGAATAATTAGATTTCTCCTGGTTCTAGTGATTTTTGCCATAGAAAATTTGGGATGGTATCATTAAAAACATATGGTACACACCAGGCATGGTGGTACACACCTTAGATCACAACAGTCAGGAGAAAAGGGCAGGTAGAAATCTGTGAGTTCAAGGCCAGCCTGGTCTACCTAGTGACTTTCATGCCAGCCCAGGGGCTACCTAGGGAGATGATGTCTCAAAAGAGAAAACTTCAGACAAAAAAAAAGTTCCACTAGAAACATATAAGTTTAAAGCTGCCATAACTTCATAAAGAATGAAATATTTTGTAATTATGCAGTGGCTTTTTATTTGTAGTGATGTTTTTGGCCTCGAAGTATGTTGGCCCAGTGGTAGAATATTGTTTACTACTAATATAGCATTCCTATATTTTTGGAAGAGATTTTGGGTGGCTAATCTCATTTCCCCAGTAATTTCATTTTAAATCTTTATATGCTTTCATATTTTTGCTTTGTTTTTTTGTTAACACGACCATCTTAATCTTTGAACTAAAGAGTTCTGTCCACATACATACATCCACATTTATGTCTGAGTATTGACATGGGTAAGATTTTTTCTCTCATCTTACATGACTTTAGTACATCCTCCTTTTTATATCTTTTTCTTTTCACTGTGGTCTGAATGAACAGGGTCTCCTGAGGCTCTTGTTTTAAACAGTCACTCTCTGCTGATAGTACTGTTCTGCGAGACTGTGGAATCTTTGCGACATCTAGCTTCACTAGCAGAAGTGGGATGCCGGGGTGGGCTTGGAGGCCCTACCTGCCTTTGTTTCTGGCCTGGGCTGCCTGCTCCCTGACCTGATGAAATGTGAATGGGCCATAGTGCAAGCGCCCCCGCCATGATGGGCATGTGTTCCTTCTCGAACTGTGAGCCCAGATAAGCCTCCCTTCGCTTATGTCACGTCTACTTGATATATATGTATATACAGAGAGAGAGAAGAAAAGTAACTAATACGCTTCCCCCCCCCTTTAGACCTGCTGTTTATATTAAATTCGATTCCATTTTCTCCTCTACATATTATACATTACAATTTCTGCACCTATTTTTCCATCATGATCTTAACCAAATGAATGAACTGCACATATTTCAAACAAAAACACTTAGCTTCTGTACGTGTAACAAACTGCCTAAAAAAACTTGCTGACCAAAGGTAAGGACTCATGACTGGTCTGTCATTCTGTGAGTTAACTCACAGGAACTGATCTCAGTGTTGTGCTCAGAGTCAAGTGTGGCTGGGCCTGGAAACTGAAGACTCAGTGACTGAGATGACTGGCATGCACGTGGTTGGCAGTAGACGGTGGCTATGGGCTGAGGTGAGGCCGTCGGGAGCATTCGCCTGTAGCTGTGGAATGAAAACGCCCCTCAGCATGGCAGCTCAGTTCTCAGAGGGAGATTTACCAGAGGCTCAGGAGATGTCGCAAGATTCTGAGTGACTTAGAAATCACAAAGTATCACTTCTGCTGCTTTCTATGGATCCCACAGAACCATCCTTGACTCCACATAGAAAGCACCAGCACAAGGGCGTTAACATCAAGATGTACACCACAGAGGCAAGGCACAGCCTAGTGGAATATAAAGTGATAGGCTGCGTAAGAGTTTCAAGAAAACTGATTAAAAGATTTTATTACTGTGCCCTCAGAAGGTTAGGAGATATATATCTAGAATATATAGATATAAATGACATATATATGTATATATATGTGTATATATATATATATACATATACACACACACATATATATATACACACACACACATATAAAACAGGCAGAACAAGATCTTTGAAGAAAAACATTTGTTCACAGTTTCAACTTTAGAAGAACATCTTAACGGTGGTTAAGAGCAAACGTGGGCTTGGCCACTTATGTAAGCCTGACCTTCAGCCAGCCTCACATTATCCATAAAATGCAAGCAATAGCAGGCACCCCAGAGGAAGGTTGGAGTAATTTATTACCATAATCCTGGTAGACACAGAGCCTGATGTGTGGTAAGTTCTCAAAACCTGGTCATGTTAATAAATGCACCCCAATTGATTGTACTAGCGAGTGGAGCAGTTGAGATTTCAATTCAGTTTTCTTGACTCTAAAGCCCATGAAAAGTCTTCAATTTATACAGTGTTAAAGGACCAGAGGTTGGTTGTCCACTAGATTTCTTGCTAGGCGTTTATCACTGTGTGGTGAACTACCAGCTCAGAGTCCCATGAGATCAAGACAGTGGGATACCTTTTCGGTGTGTGAGAAAGGTTTTAAATGGTGGTGGTGGCTCTTTTCTTGCTGGGAATTGAGCAGAAGGCCTTATGCATGCAGTGCAAAAGGCTCTGCCTCTAAGCTACATTCCCCAGCCATGCAGTGGAACTAAAAAGCATTCTTGAACTTCCTTAACTATGTACTCACAGAAGATAGATGATGTTGAGCCTCCCAAACAGCCTCTGAGTAAATTTTCTAATGAGGTTTTTGATACAAAAGATATCCTGTGATTCTGTTCTTCGGCAATGGACCACTTCTACCTTCCCTCTTGGAGAAGAGAGGACGGACATTTTTTTCTCCTGTTCCAGAGAAAGAGGGGGTATCCATTATTAATGTGAGATGACAAGCTAGTTTGGTTACAGCACACACAAAACACTGGACAGTAAATTTCATGTGGTCAGAGTAAACACATGTAGGAGTACTCACGGGGTGCATTTTCTCAGGCTGCAACTGTCACTGCAAACCTTGTAAAATGCTGCTCTCCTAGAAAATGGACTGAGAACAAGCCTGTCCTGAACCTTCTATAGCTACTGTAAAAGTACTTAAGATATTGAAAGGGATCATTGACTGACTTAAGGATAAGGAAAATATTGACAGATGTGCCCACATTCCAAATTAGAGTTTGCCTTTATTGAAGCTGGAACCCTGAATTATAGCAGTCTTGAGAGGTTCTATGAGACAGAAGACTAATGTTTGCAGTTAAACAAGAAAGCATATGATTCTTTAAATGATCTCCCGGGGGGTCACCAGGCCTGTTATAATGCTTTGGAAATATCTCAACTAAAGCACATTAGTAAGGTTCACTAGTAGTGACACTAACTTGTGTCACTACTGGGAGCTGCTGGAGCATTTAGGAAGGAGTCAGATCACTGAAGGCTCAGGTAGGAGAAGAAACCTGGTCCCTTTCTGTTTCTCGTTGCTTTGTGGCCACATGAGGTGAACAGACATCCTCTGTCTTAAGTTTCATCATGATGTACCATTCTGCCAAAGGCCCAAAGCAACAGGGCCTTGCTGCTAGGAAACCTGCTGACAGGAACAGTAGCCCACAAGATGGTTTCATTTTTCACACTGTCTCAAAGCTTGTCTGCCTCTTCTTTCTGTAGCTCTCTCCCCTTCTCTCTGCTTCTCCCTCTTCTCTTTGTAGGGAAGAATTATACTAATTGGCCACCTGAAAACACGGGAGTCAGCTTGTGCCTCAGAGAAGTCACGATGCCTCAGAAAATGATACAGAAGCTGCCCTGTGGACAACATTGGTGAGTCTCCTGCGCAGATGACCAGTGTTCTGACTTCTAGCACACAGTTCATCTTTGGTGATTTTTTAAACATCATATAATTAAATTATATAGACTGTGTGATTTTTTTTTTAATCACAAGATTTTTCATATCGCTTTTTTTAAAAGTTGTTTAGCTCTTCCAAAGAACTTGACTGCTGTAGGGGCCTGAAGAAGCAATGGGCTGTGCGAATCCTCAGTCGAGGAAACTCAAATGAAGTGGCGAAGTTGAAGCCATATGTATTTGGTCAGAATACCATACGCATCTCAAGCCGGCGCTGCCTCTGCCACGACCCGCTGTGGGCTCTGTGGGCAAAAGTTCCCTATCTTCATTGTTCTCCAGGGATTCAGATCAAACTGGTACTAGCTTCCTTTAACTGCAAACCTTCAGTCAAAAGTCTAAGATGGAGTTAACTAAGAGAACCTGGAAAGACAGCAGGATGAAGTCCTCCAGTGACCTTCCCACTGCCAATTTCACAGGATTAGAAGTTTCACAATTTCACAGAGAAGTTTTATCAGCATCTCCACATGGCTCCTGGGGATGGCTCTGTATTGCCCAAGCTCACAGAAACAGAGAGGAATTAAGAATGCCAATTTATTCATTTCTTAACAGTTTCACATTTTACAAATGGTAAATTACAAGCAAAGCTGTCCAGATGTTTCTGTAGCCTAGGCACTTAGCTAGCCATGTGGGCTGAGCACAAGCTGAACTTTTGCTTTTCACAGGACAGGGTGGGAACGGAAGCATAGCCACATCTGCTATGTGGTCTGTGTTGTGCAGCCTTGCCATTAAGGTGACTGCTATGGTTAACTAGAGAACTTGAGCTGTCCCTAGCACCACCCGGCTGTTGTCTGGTGGAAGCATGCGCTCAGAATGAAAGTGCTTCATTTTGCAAAGAAAGAAAAACCTTGGTATCTAGGTAACATTTCCAAAACGTGGGCTCTCAGCCCACTCTGTCCCTCTTTAAACAGCTATTAGTCTGTCAGGTGGCTTCAATTTAAGACCACAGCAAAAGTAATCTCAATTCATTTAACGTTTGGGAAATGAGATTATTTTAAATATTTGGATGGTATAGTTTGGAGCTATGGCAAATATTTTGATATTGGCTATAGTCATTTGTAGTCTGGAAATTTAAAAAAAAAGTTTAGAAAGGGTAGATGTGATAGTACGACATACATATATGTTCCAAATATTAGGCGTTGGGCAACAATGGAAAATCTCTTAAACAATTATCCATAGCCAGGTGTGGCGGTGCAAGCCTTTAATCCCAGTACTTGGGAGGCTGATGTAGGTAGATCTCTCTGAGTTCCAGGGTTAGGGCTACATAGTAAGACTCTTCACCTACTCACCGCCACGGCCCGGTCTCAAAAAAACAAACAACACCAAAACAATCACCACCACCAACAACAACAAAAAAAAATCCCTAAGGATTTAATCAAGCCACTTATAAAGATAGAAGCTTAAACACATGTTACTAAATGAAAGACACCAAAGTGAAAAGACATTTGACTCTAATAATCCACAAAGAACAAAACTACAGGGACATTAAACAATAAAGAGTATTGAACCCACCCTTGCTACCTGGCTAAGTACCAGTGCCGCCCCCTCCCCACCTCCTAGGGATCACTGTTGGAAAGGTAGCAGAAATGTAGTGAAAGACTGAGGCGGTGAATGGCTACAGAAAACATCTGGACACAGCCGGCAGCATAAGACCTGTGCAAACTCAAGCCAGAGCAAATCTCCACATGAAGAGTTGGGCACACAATCACACACCGGGGCACTGTCAGCTTACCAGGATGCCACACTCTGAAAAGACTAATCCTTCCCAGCAGCTAAGGATTGCTGATTTCTCCAGTGCCCGGTGGAAGAGCACAAATCCAAGAATACTTGGGCAACACAGATTGGTCTTAAAAGGTTAAGAAACAAAAAGACACAAAGTTGGGTGAATGGGGAAGTGGAGTAGATCTAGGAAAAAGTTGGAGAGTAAATATGATCAAAACACAAAACTCAGGCCCTGCATGGTGATGCACACCTGTAATCCCAGCACTCTGGGAGGAAGAGGCAGGTGGATCTCTGATTTGGAGGCCAGCCTCGTCTACAGAGTAAGTCCAGGACAGCAAATGCTACACAGATAAACCCTGTCTTAAAAACAAAATAAACAAAATAAAACCCTACAACACTCTCAAAGAAGGGGCTAGAGAGATGCCTCAGCAGTTAAGAGCACTGTCTGCTCTTCCAGAGGTCCTGAGTTCAATTCCCAGCAACCACATGGTGGCTCATCTATACTGGGATCTGATGCCCTCTTCTGCATGCAGGTGTACATGCAGACAGAGCACTCATACATAAAAAATAAATCTTAAAACAACAATTTTTAAAAACTCTCAGAGAAGTAATAAAAAAAAAAAAAAAAAACTAAAACAACAACAAAAAAGATGAGTATTGACAGAGGCTTGAGGGAGAGAGGAAAGAAGAGGCGGTACCCAGAGGATGTTTGAACAGCAACGACAGACTGTCTTGCCTTTGTCCAAAACCACAGACTGTGCAAGGGCAGTCCACAACATAGCAGTCACCTTTAACTGATAATATGTCAATGTAAATTTAGCCATGCTGACAATGAACCACCCTGGCAGGGGATGGAGTGGCCCTTGAGGGTGGGGAAGAAGGAAGTAGGGAAACCCCATCTTCCCCTGAAGTTTGCTGTCAATCCCAAACTTCTCTGAAAATTAATTTAAACATTTCTCTTAACTATATGTTCTATCACTCTGTATTTCAATGTACATCGGATGTTATACAGACTAACATATAATGAGCACTTTACATAGACTTTTCTCTTTAATCTTAAGAAAATAGGTATTTCTATCATTTTATAGCCAAGGACACTAAGGATAACAATTGAAATAATGAAAATAAATTCACAGACTAAAATTTACTCATTAGTATGTGCTTTGTTACTGACTCATTTCCATCTTTCTCTACTATCTTGTATCAAAAACACCTCTTTTTATTTAAAAACCTACGTTTCAAGATAATTTTCTTGGCCCAATCGTGGGGAGGCCCAAGACAAGGGGGCGTAGACTCAGACTACAAATCCCAGCATGCACCGCTGCTCCGGCATCGGCTTGCAAGACTGTGGTTTCCCGCCGCTCTTGCCTCCTCCTCCGAGTTTCCACATCCGAGATGGACTCCAACGCTCCACGCAGGTGCCGCTGCCCACAGCTACACCCATCCCCGAGACAGACCTGGCTGCGGTCCCGCCACCCGGGCCCCGAGTCCCTGGCCTGCAGCCCGCGCTACCCACCTCACCAGCAACTCCGGCAACACCGTGCTCCACAGACGACGCGCACACGGTTGCCACGGAAACGACGCGGCGCTCCGTCGGACTCGTGGGTCGGTCAAAGGTCACCGTGGAGAGTTCCCGTTCCGGTTCCGGTTCCGGGATCTAGTTTGTTGTGAGCCGGCTCTGTGGGCCTGAAGCGTGTTTCTGAAGTCCGTTCGTGGGCCTGGGTTGTTAGCGTTTCGTGACTGCAGACATGGCAGCCTCCACGGCGGCCGGAAAACAGCGGATTCCTAAAGTGGCCAAGGTAGGCGGCCGGGAGGGGCCCCAGCACAGCTTCTGCGGTGCCGGGCACCAGAGACTCGGGACTGCGAGCTCTGCAACTCGGTCCAAGAAGACAGGGGTCTTGTCATTCCGAGCTCGTCTCGCGTCTAACTAGCCTTGGTTCCAGGGTGGTATTTTTGTAATGCGAGGCATTGGCTCGGTTCGGCAGACTCTTAGCTTTGTTACTCTGGGCGTCTCCCACTTTTACTCAGAGCAACAGTGAGCGTGTAAAACGGGAGAAATGGCAACCTTAATAGATGTATCTAGGTATCGTAGACTATGCCGTGGGCAAGAACCAGAGGGGTGTCAGTAAACTTTAGGGTAAACTTTGTGAAGGAAGCTAAAACTTGAAGGCTGTGTGAAAGTTGAACAGTGAAGGGGATGCGAGAGGATGGGCTCTATGTAATGGCATAATTAAAGTTAAACAGTAAATTATTATGTTTCCAACGGTGGCTGGTACTTCACCAATGCTTAATAAGTGCCAAATCTTGCACTTAACCTTTGCATACAGTCTTTCTCTGGTCTGATTTTTCTACGTGGCCTTTTTGTCTTGAGACAAATTCTTATTTCCACATGTAATTATTATAAAAGTCTAATGTGGAAGCCATTTTTTTCCCATCCCGAGTCATAAAAGCCAGGGTATGTGTGCTGGCTAAGTTTCTGTCCGCTTGACACAAACTGAAGTTGTCTAGAAGAGGAACCTCAGTTGATAAAATTCCTCGATCAGATTGCTTATAGGCAAGTCTGTAAGGCATTTTCTTAATTAATAATCGATGTGCTGGCCTAGCCGCGTCAGGGAATGCAGTACCTGGGCAGGTGGTCCTGAGTAGTAGAAGAAAGACTGAAAGCTGGGCATAGTGGCGCACACCTGTAATCCCAGCACACTGGGAGGCAGACGCAGGTGAATCTCTGAGTTCGAGGCCAGCCTGCACTACAAAGTAAGTCCAGGATAGCCAAGGCTACACAGAGAAACCCGATCTTGGGAAAAAAAAATAGAGCCTGGTGTGGTGGTGAATGCCTTTAATCACAGCACTTCGGAGGAAGGTGGATCTCTGTGAGTTCAAGGATAGCCTGGTCTATAGATCGAGTTCCAGGACAGTCAAGGCTACACAGAGAAATCCTGTCTAAAAAAAGGGGGTGAGGGGAGAGGAGACCGAGTGTGGCTTCTGTATCAATTCCTGCCTCCAGGTTTCTGCCCTGACTTCCCTAATGGACTGTGATCAGGTTGTGTAACCCCATAAACTTTCCTCCCCAAGTTGCTTTTGTTTTATCACAGCAGTAAAAAAGCAAATTTATTTGCACTTAGGGTCCATCTGAATTTGAGCATGCTTGACTTGTAGCTACTTCGTTGCACAGCACAGCTCCGTGTGCTCTAGAAGCTTACAGGCTAATGATGGGAACTTAGTAAACGAGTTTCAGCTGGCTTAAAATGCCATGGAAAACCAACTTGTCCGATAGAGGGGTTAAAGCGAGTAGAGGAATTCTGTAAACAGGTCATAATGAGGAGGAAGTGGTGCTTACTCTGCTCTTCTACAAGGGAAAATTTGCTGTTATTTTATCACCTGTTGCTCTTGAGACTTTGAGCATGGACTTCCTATACTAGGTATCCAGCGTTAGATGGAAAATCAGGACCACCTCCCACCCCTGACCCTGTTCTGCCTCATGGAGGACTGAGCATGTCATTCAAAGAGGACATCTTATGCTCAGACTTAAAACATTTCATGCTTACGACATCGTGTGTGGAGAACACTACCCCAAATAGAAATGTCTTTTTTTCTTAAGGTGAAAAACAAAGCACCAGCTGAGGTGCAGATAACTGCTGAACAGCTCTTAAGAGAAGCTAAAGAGAGAGAACTTGAGCTCCTCCCACCTCCTCCTCAGCAGAAGATCACAGATGAGGAAGAATTGAATGATTACAAGCTACGGAAAAGGAAGGTGAGTCTGCTCAGAGTGTGCTGTGCAGATCTGTCCGTGTCGCCACCCATAGTAGGATCTAAGGCCTGGGAGAGAGCTCTGAGAGAGCCCATGGGATTTGGCCTCAGGCTAATATTCGGGATTATTTAATCCACTAATATCATGGAAGTCATATGTGAAAGTCTGCAAATTACACTTTATTAATTACACTTTATTCACTTTGTATCCCCCCCTGTGGTTCCCTCCCTCCTCCTGTCCCAATCCCTCCCTTCCTCCACCCTCTGCATGCATGCCCCTCCCCAAGTCCACTGATAGGAGAGGACTTCTTTTCCTTCCTTCTGATCCTAGTCAATTAGGTCTCATCAGGAGTGGCTGCATTGTCTTCCTCTGAGGCCTGGTAATGCTGCTTCCCCCTCAGGGGGAGGTATTTAAAGAGCAGCCCAATCAGTTCATGTCAGAGACAGTCCCTGTTCCTATTACAATGTAACCCACTTGGATACTGAACTGCCATGGGCTACATCTGTGCAGGGGTCTTAGGTTATCTCCATGCATAGTCCTTGGTTGGAGTATCAGTCTCAGGAAAGACCCCTGTGCTCAGATTTTTTGGTTCTGTTGCTCTCCTTGTGGAGCGCCTGTCCTCTCCAGATCTTACTGTTTCCCACTTCTTTCATAAGATTCCCTGCACTCTACCCAAAGGTTGCCCATAAGTCTCAGCATCTGCATTGATAGTCTGCAGGGCAGAGCCTTTATTTATTTTTGTTTTATGTGCATTGGTGTGTTGCCTGCATGTCTATGTGAGAGTATTGTATCCCTTGGAACTGTTGCTACAGACAGTTGTGAGCTGCCATGTGAGGCTGGGAATTGAACCTGGGTCCTCTGGAATAACAGCCAATGCTCTTAACCACTAGGCCATCTCTCCAGTCTCCATACTTTCTCTTTTTAAAAAAAAAAAAAACTGAAATGAGTAACTTTTATTACAAGACAAAAGGCAAAGTCGTTTTCTCTTTAACTATAACACATACACCCCTTTTTTGCCTTTCAGACTTTTGAAGATAACATAAGAAAAAATAGGACTGTGATTAGTAACTGGATAAAATATGCACAATGGGAAGAGAGTCTAAAGGAAATTCAAAGGTAATATTTGTATGTAAAGATTCTGTAAGCTAGCAGGTTTGAGAAACTAAGAAAAGTAAAGCACAGGACCGTACTGTGTTAGAATTTCCAGCTTCTGTTCCACAGAACCTTAAGGTTCTTCTGAGGGACCTCAGGGCACTGGGAGGAACAGTCATGGAGTGTTGCAGGAGGTTCTTTATGTGGGTTGTGCTGCCGGCACTCCTGTAGCTAAAGAAACAGTGTTTTATCTGTTTTCTGGATCCTTAGTGTTCTGCTGGAATCTGTAGTCAAGATAAAAATTTTGGCCTTCAGTTCCTGTAGACCAGCCTTTCTGCATTCTCCCTCATACTCCTGCTCCTCTGCTCCTTGTCCTTGCCAATCCCTGAGGACACAGGACACCTTTGCTCTTTACTGTGACATTTGTTTGCACTCTGACTTGACCCCTTGCAGGCACCCTTCTCTACCAGCCTTGACTTTTGAACAAACTGAAGCTATCCCTTACATCCTCAGTTCTGGAGTTCCTGCCACTTAGCCCGTTTCACCAAACATTGTTCTCTTCCAGTACAGACCTTGACTGTAGTGTTCATGACTGTATGAAATAATTGCATGTTTGTCTGTCTTTAAGACTGTGCAGTAACTTGAGGACATTGTTGCTTTTTCTCTTTTCCTGAACTTGGCTCATGATAGATCTCTAACAACATAGGAGGACCTTGTTGCAGCGACTTTGAGGTACCTGCTGCGTATCTTATAGGTGCTGCCTTTGATGCTCTCCATATCTTATCTGTTAAGGGCTCGATCCATATACGAGCGTGCTTTAGATGTAGACTACCGAAATATTACACTCTGGCTGAAATATGCAGAAATGGAAATGAAGAACCGCCAGGTCAACCATGCCCGAAATATCTGGGACCGCGCCATAACAACTCTGCCACGAGTCAACCAGTTCTGGTAAGCTGCCACGGTTTCACAAAGCGGTTTCTGTGAACTAGAAAAATAGTACTTGCCTATGTATTGCTTTTATTTGCAGTCACAATAATTTTATATATTGAACTTTACATTCTACTTTTTCTTAAAATATACCGTTTTTAATGTTACATAATCTATAAGTCATAATCCTGATGATAGCTATGTAATAAAAATTTAAATGTTTAGTACAATCTTTTATTTATAAGAAACTTTTTATTGAAAAGATAAAACTTACAATCAGCCATGTGGCGCTGGAGCACGCTTTTAATCCCAGTCCTTGGGAGGCAGAGGCTCTACAGAAGACAGAAGAGACAGCTGCGGCTGGCCGATGTTAATGACTACACGGTAGATGGTGTTCGGGAGAGTGGATCTCTGAGTTTGAGGCCAGGCTGGTCTGCAGAGTAACTTCCAGAACAGCCAAAGCTACATAGAGAGAGCCTGTCTCAACAAACAAAACCAAAACAAACAAAAATTTAAAATTTTGCATTTAACAAAGCATTGGAAATTTAAAGCTTACTTTTTTCCCTGAGTCATTTTGACCACAGCAGGCATCTTTGGGTGATTCTCTGTCAGGTACAAGTACACATACATGGAGGAGATGTTGGGCAATGTTGCTGGTGCCCGTCAGGTGTTTGAGCGCTGGATGGAATGGCAGCCTGAGGAGCAGGCCTGGCACTCCTACATCAACTTCGAGCTGAGATACAAAGAGGTGGAGCGGGCCCGCACCATTTATGAACGCTATATCCTTGGAGGCATCACTGGTACATGGTTGTCACAGGTGTCTACCCCTCAGAAAGATGCCTTAGTAAAGACACATAGCTGTTAGTGTGACGTAGGAGGTCAGGAAGGCAAGTTTCTTCATTTTCACGATTTTTTTGTAGGGGTAGAAATTGGTCATATAAGAAGTTATGGACGGGATGATTTGAGTCTTTTCAGTGATATTGCGGGTTCATTTTTGGGTTTTGCACTAAGTCCTGGCTGCTAGAACCAGAGGTCTGTGTTGATTATTAGCACTGCTAGTGGAGGTCACCCAGAGGTTCACTGCTTACCAAGCTGTGACTCCAGCTAGTAATTGACTCCAGAGTCATTTAGTTCCTTGAGCCTTTGTGTCCTTTCTATATAAGAAAAATTAAAACTAAACATGGTGAAGTCTAAGTGTATACTCGTTGGTAGGATACTTGCCTCGCATTATTCTGAGACCCTGAGTTTAGGCTTCAGCACTATAGACACAGAACAGCCAACTGTGGCTAGCCAATGTTAACGACTAAAGGATGGTGTTTTTGAAAACACTGTTAGAAACACCTCTGTGAGCCCAGTTACCCACAGGCATCTTATTTGCACATTGTACACTTGTTAAAATTTATTTGGAATCCTCAGATTACTAATTGCTATGTTTTAGCAGCCATTGGTAGACATGTATCAGACAGCGAGCATTTGGTGTCGCTCAGCATGCAGTTCCTGAAGTCCATTGCAGCTGTATGTAGTGGTGCCTGAGTGCGAAGGCAGGAGGGGCCCATGCTGTGTCCACAGGAAGCTTTCTTCCCTCTCTGAAGCCGGTGGAACGGGGTTTGACACCTATAGTGGGACAGCCTAAGGCTAGTTGCTTAATGCTCAGAACCACATTGGATCTGGGCACAGCGCTTAGTTGGTAAAGTGTGTGGTGTGCAAGCCTGGAGACCTGTGTTTGGATCCCTAGAACCCATGTAAAAAGCACACACCTGTAATCCCAGCACTGGGAGGTGGAGGCCGGAGGGCTATTAGGCCAGTCAGTCTAGCTGGATGGGTGAGCTCCAGGCTCAGTGAGCGCCCCATCACAAAAACTAAGGTGGAGAGCAATTGAATAAGATACCTGATGTCAGCCTCTGACCTCTTACACCGAAGCATACAACATGTGCACACAAGAAAATAGTTAGGATGTGCTGGTTTTAGAATTTAAAACTACGGTGTGTGGGAGATTCATCCACATTCCTCTTAGGAGCAATGATTTGGCATTCAGTAATTCAGAATTCTTACTGGTTTTACAGAACTGCCGCAAGCGTGAGAACCTTATTGTGCAACATTAAGATCTTCAGTTGTCTCTCCTCATTCGTAGTGATTTAATAGAGGCTGAAGCAGCACTTGGTTTGTGGTAGAAGAGACCCTAAGCACTTAAGATTGTCGGTGCTTGTGAAAATTAAGTAACTCAGCTAGCTCTTAGGTGGTGACGTGGGTGTATTTGACTTAGGAAATCGGCCTCGGGACTGCTGCTTTTAATATCCTTGCTCTTTGTGAATGTACTTTAGCTATGGAAATTATTGGCTTCTTCAAGGAAGGTTGATGTGCCCTGTTAATAAAAATGGCAAGCGAAGACTTTAGCGATAGATAGCAGCTTTCTTTTTGTGGCAAACTTATTCATTGTGGATAGACTGTTGTCACTGAGCATTTAATGTAATAAGTGCTCTTTATTGACCACATTCATTTGCCAAGAAAGTGGTAAGTTTCATAAACATTTCCTCATTTAATAAAGCAATGATGGGGGAGGTTGGTACCCTTTTTCCCTTTCCACACATGAAAAAAATGAGGCAGATGAGTTGTTGAAGATCACCTGACTTATAGCCGGTTTGAGGGCTTTCTTTGGCTTTAGGCTTCTGTTTGTCCCACTGCTTCCATACTAAGTTAGCACTGAAATCAGAGCAAATGAGTAACATGACCCTGACATCACAGGCTGGGGGTTGGTTAGTCTTCTTTGTATGGGTTTCATCACCCCTCCAGTTATATTATGAACCGTTGGAATTTGGGAGGTTGGTAAGGTTTAGGGTCAGTTGTTTGGGCATGAAGCCTTTGTACATGCTGTGCGCGCAGACTTGCACTGAGCCAGCCTCAGCCTCCATTACTGCGTTGCCTTGCCTGCTCTTTCCTTCACTCCCCTGCACTTGTGCTCGTGCACCCTGCTGTGAAGAACTGGATCAAGTATGCTCGATTTGAAGAGAAGCATGCTTATTTTGCCCATGCGAGGAAAGTCTACGAGAGAGCAGTTGAGTTCTTTGGGGATGAGCATATGGACGAACACCTGTATGTGGCCTTTGCTAAATTTGAGGAAAATCAAAAAGAGGTAAGTCATGATGAGTTAGTTTATTCCTGTTTTATTTTACTTGTCCATAGAGAAAATGGTTTGTAGATACAAAAACATAATTTTATACGGAACAGCATGCGTGTATTGCTGAGCTATGGGCTGGAGCTGAGTGGTTCTGTACAGTAGCTGTCTTCACTCTGCTTTGTTGGAATTAAGCCTTTAAACAAGAGCACCTGGAGTTTGGTGTCTTGGCACATGCCTATCATCCCGTCTCAGAAAACTGAGGATTGACTCTGAGGCCTGAGGCAAATGGAGCATAACCTTGAAGTGAGCTTATCTCAGACACCCAGAATTCCATGTGCAAACTGATTTATGGAATCCTGATTCAAGGGCTTAGAGATGATGAGCCGGGGAGGCAGAGAACTGGTGCCATCAGCCAGAGGAAACAATGTAGAATGGGGACATGGATTGCCTCACAGAAGCTAGTTCCTTTCTGCCTTGGTATACACAGAAAATAATCGAATAGGAGGGCTCAGGTTCTCTCTAGGAGGCAAAGACCAGAGGGTTTTAAAAGAGACAATGACTGGATGATCCTTTAGTGAGCTTCTGGTTAATTCCTGAAAGTATTCTGGGGCAGGGTAGTGCATTGTAAGAGTGGAGCCAGGGGAGGGCTGAGGATGAAGCTCATTGGGAGAGCGCTGTGAACACGAGTGAGGTTCTGATTTTGATCATTGGCACTACCTACCAGGGAAGCAGGTAATAAAACCAGGGAGTCCAATAAGAACTTTTAGATGTTCTTGGTTAGAAATGAAGGTGGGTCAGCAGCAGGGTAGAAGAGAAAAAAGGGCAGTAGTGAAGAGATTAAAAATAGCAGCACTTGTTGAAAACGAGTCAGTAAAGGAAAGAAGAACAGGAGAGGAACCAAGGCAAGATTCACGGGGCTCTGGGTGTGAGCAGGTATGCCATGGAAATGTTGCCTATCAGCCTGGGAAAGGACCCAGGATGGGTAAGGAGAAAATAGAAGCTCCGTTTTGTGACACTATTAAATATGGAACTGAGAGAAAGAGAGAGAGAGAGAATATTAGTCCTTTCTGATCGAGGCTTCAACTTTTAATTTATGATATGTGTGACTGAAATAAGATTATGTTTCAGATGGTAATCTTCTTACCTGTTCTTAGTTTGAAAGGGTACGAGTTATTTACAAATATGCCCTGGATAGAATTTCAAAGCAAGAGGCCCAAGAACTCTTTAAAAACTATACCATCTTTGAGAAGAAGTTTGGTGACCGGAGGGGCATAGAAGATATCATCGTAAGCAAACGGAGGTTCCAGTATGAAGAAGAAGTGAAGGTGGGCTCTTTTCTAGAGGCTTGGTGTTGCCAGAGCTTTCCACAGTGGCACACATAACAGCAAGTTGGGTCTCGTGACTACTCTCTTGATGCTATGTCTGATAGACTTGACAACTCTTTTAGACAAATTGGGATAAATGTGGCTAGGATAAAGGAGAGCAAGGTGTACTTGGATTTCCTATGCCATTCCCAGGTGCAAAAACATTTTACTGATAGCAAGCTGTAGAAATGTAGATCTTGGCACTTGGGAGATAGAGGCAGAAAAATTGTTAGTTCGAAGCCAGCCTAGGCTTCGTATCAAGCACGCGCCTCAAAAGAAATGTAGCAGAGCTGGAGAGATGGCTTAGAGGTGAAGAACACTGGCTGGGGGCTGGAGAGATGGCTCAGAGGTTAAGAGCACTGCCTGCTCTTCCAGAGGTCCTGAGTTTAATTCCCAGCAACCACATGGTGGCTCATAACCATCTGTAATAAGATCTGGTGTCTTCTTCTGGCATGCAGGTGTACATGTGATAGAACATTATATACATAATAAAATAAAATATTAAAAAAAAAAAAACTGGCTGTTCTTCCAAAGGTCCTGAGTTCAATTCCCAGCAACCACATGGTGGTTCACAACCATCATATAATGAGATCTGATGCTCTTTTCTGGTGTGCAGGCACATATGCAGAAAGAATATCATATAAAATAATAAATAAATCTTTTTAAAAGAAAAGAAATGTAGCATCTGTTTGAGTTCATTTTTTTGGAAAAGGATGGAAGGGTCAGACGTAGATCCAAACACTTTCTTTGCCTGAGCAAGAGATCTATGAAAGACAGTTCTATTCCTGTCTTTGTAATACACCATTTTGATTTCAGTTTAAGATAGCATTTTTTCCTCACTGTTCTGTGTATCTTTTGCTTGGTCAGATTTAAATAGCTCCTAGCAAAGGACTAAGTCTGGTGTGAAATGAAGCAATAGGTCAGTAAGATGTGTTCAGGATAAATTACTGTTATTTGAAAGGTGGGTTCCCTGTTTAGAATCTGAATCTGATATATATCCATTGTAATTTCATTATCACCGTAAGGGTATACAATCATATGTGTAAAAATTACATTTATGTAAGTTGGAAGTTGTGGATAAGGGCTCAACCTTGTAAGAGTCCCAGGACTGGGGAAGCCAACGCAAAATAATTGTCATGAGTTCAAGGCCAGCCTAGGCTATGGAGTGAGACCCTATCTCAGAAACAAACAAAACAAATGAAGCAGTTCTTTTACATGACTGTAGCAGAGCAAAGTGGCTTTGCTGTGCGGTGCCTAGCCAGTGGCTTTTTATGTTCCTTTATACATTTTATGGAGTGGTGCTTTTAAAATGAGATGGAAGGGGAAAATTGCTAAAATATAGCAGCTTTGTTGTCTCACAATTCTGACAGCCTTTCAACTCTAGCTCTTGGTTCGGTTTTTTGTTTTTTTTTTTTTTTTGTTTGTTTTTTAATTAAGCTGGCTGTTTTCTAGGCTAATCCACACAATTACGATGCATGGTTTGATTACTTACGCTTGGTGGAAAGTGACGCAGAAGCTGACACGGTGCGGGAAGTGTATGAGAGAGCCATTGCCAACGTGCCGCCCATTCAGGAGAAGAGACACTGGAAGCGCTACATCTACCTCTGGGTCAACTACGCCCTCTATGAAGAGCTGGAGGCCAAGGTGAGGGCGGAGCTGTGTGGGGCTATTAAATGAATGGCCTTCTTATGTAGAATCACGGCTTGCTATTGTAGTTAAAATGGTGGGTGTTGGGCTATGTATGTTTATTATCAGCCCTATAATTATTGCAGCAGTATTATTTAACCTGCTATCACAATCAAATAAGACACAGATATCTGTTAGATTTTTATAATTGCCTTTTTACCTTGGGCTAGGCAGATAGTCTTCCTACCTACCCTATCTCAGTAACCTCACCATCCACCTCCCAGCCCCCATCCAAGGCCATCCACCTTAACCTTTTCTATCTGGGCTACCTCCCATCCATAATTTTATAAATACTTGCTTATGTTTTTCATCTGGACCTTTTCACGCCATTCCTGGAGTCCTTCCTCCACATGGTTCCTTCTCCTTCTCCACGCTACCCCATCATGGTATTCCTCCTTTCTTCCTGTCTGTCTCTTTCTTGTGATTCTCTTAAACCCAAAGCCCAGGAACCTTAGCAGCACCTACTCCATTCATTATACTTTGCCCAGGTGTTAGGCCTTTAGCCCACCAGTCAGGTATAGTGTTTTAGGCAGGTTTACAGAACAAGGAGAGTTTATCCAGGCAGTAACCAGAGCTCCAAGGCCAGCAATTAGCATCAAAATACAAGCATCAGACCAACCCCCAACAGCTTGGCCTGGTGTGGATAGTACCTGATAGTTACAATCTTCGAGACAAACAGTTTTAAATTTCTTTAGGACTCTGTCCACTGATGTATATCATTTAAACTGTGCCTCTTAAGGCATGGTGCCATTTTTTTTTTTTAAACCTTGAAACACAGTAAGATAGATAGCATTTAAAAGTTGAAACAGTGCCTAGCGTGGTGGCACATGCCTATAATCCCAGCACTCAGGGAAGGCAGAAGAGGCAGATCTTTGAGTTTGAGGCCAGCCTGGTCTACAGGGCAGCTCAGTCTATACAGAGAAGCCCTGTCGTCTCCAAAACAAACTGAAACAAGGACCAGTGAATCAGTTTAATTACATCTAGTTTCCTAATAGTTCATTTTGTCACAAATAAGGATCATGGCCAGATTCTATGTTTTTGCTTTTGGTAAAAATCGGGTGGCATTTGCAGAAATAGGTTATGTGTAAGTTAAAGGTAACTTTACTATGCTCTGTTGTTCTGAGACTAACATCTTTCCTTCTACTGTCAGGCTAAGGCTTTTCTACAAAGACTCATTCAAGCTTTGTTGGCCACGCTGTTACTCTTAGACAAAAGTTTAATGATCAAAAGTAGTTGCTATTTTTTGATCATAAATGAAATAATTTTTTTTTAAAAGCATCTTAAGAAATGGGCTGTTTCTACTAGTAGGCATGAAATTAATTGGTAACATTATTTGCTTGTTGGTTTTTATCATCTTAATGCAGGATCCTGAGAGGACAAGACAGGTATATCAAGCGTCTTTGGAACTAATTCCTCACAAAAAGGTATACTTGCTGGATCAAAATCCTGTTTCATTACTTGTAAGATAATATGTATCAACTGAAATTTTTTCAGTGAGTGGCATGAGAGAATCATAAACAAGATAAGCAGTCTTTGCCTGAGGAAACCCCTACTGTGTAGTTCAGAGAATAGTTTGTGCTGTGACAAGTCAGTAATGCAGATACCAGTGTAGAAATCCAGGGGAGGACAGGTAATTGAGAAAGGCAGAATGGAAGAAAGAAGACAGATCATGTACATGACAGATTCCAAATGCATCTTTTGATAACTGAGAGCATGCTTTTGTGGTTGAGAACATGGCGTCTTTGGAGATGTTAAAATGTTGCCTCTACCACATTTCCCATCATGAGAAACAGAAAGTCTTGTGACTGAGTTGGGTTCTTAGAAATAGGATGTTTACCAATTTTTAAGCAGCCCATAAAACATTCTAAGTAGAAGCTACCATGTCATGGAGTATATATACAGGTACCTGTATAGGTCATTGTAGATGTGTATATAAATTTTTATTGCATTTTTTATTTATGGGGGGAGGGCTGTGCATGTGCCATAGTGTACATGTGGAAGTCAAAAGACAGCCTGGGGAAATTGATTCTTTCCACCATGTGGGTCCTGGAGCTTAAACACAGGGTCATGCTTGACAGCTGGTGCCATCATTTACTGAGCCATTTCACCAGCTTCATGGTATATTTTTTTGTTGACAAATGCAATTTTTGCTTGAAAACAAAATACATCCCTCCTCCCTCTGAAATTTTATCGGTGTCCTTTGGTTAATATAAATTTAATTTAAATGACCTTCTTAAACTAGATCATTTTGTGCTTATGTTTTATAGTTCACATTTGCCAAAATGTGGTTATATTATGCACAGTTTGAAATAAGACAGAAAAACCTGCCTTTTGCCAGAAGAGCTTTGGTAAGTACAGAAAGGATGGGCATGTTTCATTAAGTTTTTAAGGAGGTTACAATCTTTATGCTTACAAATTTGTACGGTTCCTACTGGAGGGGAAAAAAAAAAAAAAAAGCAACCAAGCAGGGTACATTGGCACACACCAGTAAGCCGGCCTTGCTTGGATTACATAGCAAGACCTTGTCTCAAAAAAATAAAAAAAAAAATAAAAAATGGAAGAAGAAGAAAGGAGGGATCAGCAACAGAAATGTGCCATTTAAAGCCTGGAACATGTTAGACAACTCATAGGCAGTGCTTTGAGAATAGGTGACTACTGAGTGCTCATTTTAAGTGGGATGTAAATACAACCCCTTTCTACCTCCCTGCAAGGCTCAGGGACCACTGAGGAAGAAGAGGTGGAAAAATGTAGGAACAGCATGGTGGAGAGGAATCTTGTCAGTGTCTTCTGGAGATGGCATGGCTGTTACACTCAATCTCAGGGCAGCATAGTGGCCTGCAGGAAGCTCGCAGCGCACTCACATTAAAGCTGGCGGTGGGGGGGCAGCTTATGAGACTCCACCTCTAGCTGGGGAGCTATTGACATCTGATGGCTGCTGGTAGGGAAAGCAGTGATTTTTTCTTCAGAAGCATGGCTGCTGATAGGTTGCCTGTGCTCATGCAGCCAAAACTATCTGGACTCAGTGTGACATGAAAGTAGATAGTACATGTTGGAAGAGTGGGAGAGGAGACTTGGTGGTGGATACAATCAAGATATGTGTATGAAATTGTCAAGAGATGGAGGCTGGAGAGGTGGCTTAGTGGTTAAGAGCATTAACTGCTCTTCCAGAGGTCCTGAGTTCAATTTCCAGCAACAATATGGTGGCTCACAACCATCTGTAACGGAATCTGATTCCCTCGTCTTGCGTGTGAAAACAGAGCATTCATATACATAAAATAAATAGATCTTTAAACAAAAAATTGTCAAGAGATACAAACAAAAACAGTGCTTAAGCTGGGGGTGGGGTCATGCCTTTATCTGTGCACTGTGCATTTGGGATGCAGAGGCAGGCAGGCAAGTTTCTGAGTTTGAGGCTAGCCTGGTCTACAGAGTGAGTTCCAGGATAACCAGACCTACACAGAGAAACTTTGTTTTGAAAAAAACAATAACAGCCTGGCATGGTAATACATGCCTTTAATCTCAACACTCAGGGTGGGGGTGGGGACAGAGGCAGGTGGAGCTCTGAGTTTAGACCAGCCTGGTCTACTGGTCTACAGAGCTGTTATACAGAGAAACCCTGTCTCAAAAGAAAAAAGAAAAAAAAAAGGAAAACAGTGCTTAAAGAAACATTAAGTGATAATACTTAAATTATAAACATTTTATTTAAACATTGGAAATGTCTATAGCTACTAGTTACTAGATCCTTCTCCATATTAGTAGTCTGGAATTAGTAGTCTGAATGTACCTTCCTCCTAATTTTTCAGGAGGATAAAATACTGTGTATACATGGAATTTTTCTTCAGATAAACTATTTGCTTCCTGTGTGTAGTAAGTCAGGCTTAATTATCTTTTATTTAAAGGTTTGTACATTTAACATTCATTATTTTCTAGGGGATCCTGAGGAGTTCAAGTCCGATAGTTGTGTAATTCTGCAATATACCTGTGGTTGACCAGGCCCCTGTGACCACAGGCCCCCCCGTGTCAGATGAGTACCTGTTGAGGAAGTGGACAGTATGATAGCATAGCAACAGAACAGACTGCTGGCTCCAGCAGAGGATAAGATCTAGGACAGTGGTTTACAGAAGTTGAGCCCTAAGTATAACAATACTCTTGGCCGTTTTATATTCTCCAGGGGACTTCCATAGGCAAATGTCCAAAGAACAAGTTATTCAAAGGTTACATAGAACTGGAACTGCAGCTTCGAGAATTTGACAGATGCCGGAAACTTTATGAAAAGTTCTTGGAATTTGGACCAGAAAATTGTACCTCATGGATCAAGTTTGCAGAATTAGAGACAATCCTTGGTGATATCGAGAGAGCTCGGGCAATCTATGAATTAGCCATCAGCCAGCCACGCTTGGACATGCCAGAGGTGAGGATTCCAAGTTGAATATATTGAGATATTCCTCACGTGTTCCCCCTAGCTACCATCTAAAAGTAAAAGATGACTCAGCTAATCTATAGTCTTTTCCACTCCAATTAGGATTCTTCTGTTTGTAGAGTAGGAAAGTAGGCCAGGGGAGTGTCAGCAGAAGCTCCTGCACAGCTGACAGGGAAGGAAGGGTAAAAGGTACAAGGAGGAAGGCTGGGTAAGGAAACAGCTGTAGGCTCCCCCATCTGGAACACAGGAAATGGGGGTGGAGGCTACATACCTCTGCCCTCAGCATAGTTTTGCCTGAAACATGATCTTCTAGATTCTACTGCGGCGGCCTGGAGCCCTGGCCTGCCTCAGTAGTTAAGCCACAGGCAGCACTGAAGCAGAGCTAAGGCCAACTGAGTCTCGCAGAAGCCACAGAAACAACTGTCCTAGGCAATCTTGCACTAACGCGACCTTGCATTGGGGCAGAGCTTCCAGTACTGCTAAAGCTCACCTGTGGCTTCAGTTCCTTACTAGAGTGCCAGCTCCAGTGTCCATGTCCTGTCCTTGTGACTATTAGGCAGTTATTTTCTTTGAACTTAGGTAACAGGAAATTGGCATTTGGGGATAGGATCATGTGACAGGATCATGAAAGTACCTGGAATCCTTGACAAGTTTTGGTTGTGTTGAACATCTGAAAAGAAAATGTAAAACTGAATCCAAAGCCTTTTTTTCTGTCTAAAAATCTAATCATGTTTTGGCAAGCATCAAAATGCTATCATTACTCCATCCACATGCGGTCTAATTGTAGAGTGAAAGTCTTTGTTTCTGGATGTAAGTCAGAATGGCTGAACTATAGAGGTATGTGACTTTCTTGGTGCTAAGATTGACCTATTATTTTCTTAGGTACTTTGGAAATCATATATTGATTTTGAGATTGAGCAGGAAGAAACTGAAAGAACACGAAATCTTTACCGACAATTGCTTCAGCGAACACAGCATGTCAAGGTATCCTGTACTTGGTCAATCCATTTTATTTTGCACAACAGTTTTGGGTTTTTTTTTTTAGACAAAATTGTTTTAAATGTCTTTCTTGTTCTTAAAATCTGTTGTCAGGATTTAAGAACATTAAGCTTATCCCAGGTCCTTGTTTCTGCTGTACATGAATCTCTTGGGAATCACAGGTTTAAAGAAGTTAAATTTTTTTCAGGATTTTAAAACTATGTCAGACACCTTAAAGCAAGAGACTGCTCCAGTACTGAAACTGAGGCACATGTTCAGTGTATCAGTTTACAGCATGCTGTCAGTGGATACATCATAGATGGCATGAACTCATAAATTAACTCTATAATCATTGTTACTGTCTTCTGGGTGACATGGTTAATTTGGTTTTCTTAATTTTCTAAAGGTATGGATCAGTTTTGCTCAGTTTGAGTTGTCTTCAGGGAAAGAAGGAAGTGTGGCTAAATGCAGACAGATATATGAAGAAGCCAACAAAACCATGAGAAACTGTGAAGAAAAAGAAGAGAGGCTTATGTTGCTGGAATCCTGGCGAGGTTTTGAAGATGAATTTGGAACAGTATCAGACAAGGAGAGAGTAGACAAACTCATGCCAGAAAAAGTCAAGAAGAGAAGAAAGGTCCAGGCCGACGATGGGGTAAGGGCTCAGTACCAGGGATTGTTCATCTCATGTCAAAGGAGTAGGAATGCATCTGCCTTTGAAGTGCGTGCTTTGAAGTAGTATTTGATCATCCTTAAAAGCAGAAGTAGACAGCCTGAATGTAAGAAGCCCACTTGTAGTCTGGATCCTAGGAAAACAACCAGTGCTGGAAAATGGGGCAGTGACGGAGGCAAAGCCGTCTGAGCAAAGGTGGAGTCTAGGAATTATATGAAACATGGTATTTGGAGTGAGAAGTCGGCATGGGGCTGGGGAAGGTTCACCTTTTAGAGAGGAACAATCTTCAGGAAACTTGGGAACCACTGAAGACTTGTATACAAGATGAGATTGCTGGCATCTCATGCAGGTGGCCTTGGGGGTCTTAGGTTGAAGATGATCTGTTGGTTGTTTTTATAAGCCCAGGACCTGGGGAGGTGGAAGGTAGGAGACGAGTGCCTGCATTTTAGGACAGTATTTAGAAGTGAAATCCATATTCACCTGGGAATGAGAAGAGAGCTAGGAGTCCAAATAATACAAGGCTCTGTAGCCTCTGCTGCTGAATACTAAGTTAAACACAAAGTTTAAAAATTATTTTAAGAGTGATTTGTCTGCATGGGTACCACATGCATGCCTGGTGCCCTCTCAGGTCAGAAGGCGGCGTTGCATTCTTTAGAACTGGAGTTACTGAACGGTTGTAAGCCACCATGCAGGTGCTGAAAACCTAATATGGGTCCTCTGAACAAGTGCTCTAGACAGTGGAGCTGCCTCTCCAGCCCCTAACACTCAAATGCAAGGTAGATGGAGCTGCTGTGCGTAGTTTCTTCCTCTTGGTCCTTCATTCTTGGTGCGCTAGTATGGTGTAGTAGCATCACTACAGTGGCTGCTTAGTCACTTAGGCCCAGCCTTTTGTTCCTTCTGCAGCAGGGTTTGAGGTTGCTTTGTAAACAGCTGAATTTGACTTGTAGGTTTCCCAGACACTCTTTACTCTACCTTCTGAATAAAGCATGCTCCAGCTGTGTATCTACTCAGCTTTTAATTGATTTATTTATTTCTGCAGTCTGATGCTGGATGGGAAGAATACTATGACTACATCTTTCCAGAGGATGCTGCCAACCAGCCTAACCTCAAGCTTCTGGCGATGGCCAAGCTATGGAAGAAACAGCAACAAGAAAGAGAAGCTGCCGAACAGGATCCAGATAAGGACATTGATGAGAGTGAACCCTCATCTTTTTAAATGTTGCAATTGCTTTTTATAAATGAATAGTTTAGAACTTTGACTTCTGGATGTTTTGTATTCTTACCAGTAAGGAGTTGTTTGGCATCTTTGACAGCTATCTTTTGCATTATTTTTTAAAATGCTATGGGTGTTAAGTAAAGAAAAAAAATTTTTAACAGATTTGTTATCTGAGTCCTAGAATTTGCTCATATTGTCTTTATTAGATGGAATTAATATGCTTAGCACCTATGTAAGGTGGAAATGAAGATTTAACTCATAAAGTGTGCAAGATCCATCCTTCAGGAACTTTTCAGGAATAGGTCTGTTGTGATGGTATGTGTGCATCTAAAGCCTGTCACTTTCTTCTGTCTCTTTAAAAACACCCAAACGAGTCCAGTTCTAGTACTATGATGTGGTGGTTAAATATTTTAGTTTCCTCAGTCGAACATGTGATAGTTTCATGGCACCTCATTTTGATTTCCTTAGAAAAGGGATATGGTAGTGTTAATCTTGTTTGCACCCCATCCCTTTTTTTTTTAAAGCATTGTGCCCACTCCTTATAGAATTAAATGGGCTTGGGCTAGTGTAACCTCTAAATATCCCAAAGTAATTTGTAGTGACTAAGAGTCCTTGGAGCCTTCCATTTACCACAGCACAACTGCCAGTTTCCCAGGCCTTATGAATTCTGCAGTTCTATCTACCTAGAGAATATGCATTTCCCAGCATGCTGTGGAATGTGTGAACTCATAACAACTGATGTTTAAACAGTTGTCATAAAACAGCAGGTGTCCGGAAGACCCACAGTGACTTGTGTGCTCAGTGATGGTGCTGAAAGTAGCACAGTATCGTACTTGTTGGTATTCTCACATTATAAAACAGCATTTACCTAGGCTTGGGGGCACTGTTGTTCATAGTCTCTTTGTTCACCACCCAGTGCCTAGAACTGTTTTTCTTCAAAATTGGTTTCCACCTATAAGAACCATTAGTAAACATCTGATCATTAACTGTAAGTATATCCAATGGAATAAAAATATTACTAAATCGGGTCTTGAAAATAAGGTAAGTTTGAAAACAGTACTGCTAGGAAAAGTAGATCTTTTCAGGCACCAGACCAGCACCAGACTGAGGCTGAGTCTGCACTGAGGCCTGAGGGTGCTAGTCAAGGAGAGGGTCTGTCACTGAATCCTTTGAATCTTGAGCAGATTCAAGATGGAGGTGAGAGCAGTTCAGAATGCTGTTCTGGAACTAGGCAGTCTTCCTCGAGCTGCTCTTCATGCTGCTTTCAAGCAACATTAAGACAAAAGTGACTGCTCTTAAAGTCCACTCATAAAAAGCCTGTGCCATATATTATTCTTGAAGCATACATTATTCTTCCTAGAAGAAACAAAGAATTCATTCTGTCCAACCTTAATATCCCCAAATAAGACCTTTCTAAAGTAAAAAGTTTATACTCAGGTGCTATGGTATACACGTTTGTAATCCCAACCTACCACTTGTGGGCAGAATGGAGGATTACTAGAGGCAGAGTTCAAGGCTAGCCTAGGCAACATAGCAAGAGCTTACTCTCAAAGACAAAACTGAACCCCAACACACATTTTAATGGTCATTTTATGTGGGCTTTTTTTGATTACTTCTTTACTGCCTGAATATCTTTTTCAGTACAAGTCCGTGATTTAATTTGGAGTTAAGAGTCTGTTTCCCCTTCAAAGGCAGGATTGAGTGTTGTTAGAGAATGTATGGGACCAGTAGTAGGAAACATGGGAGGATTTCACACCTTAAGGAGGATTTCACACCTTAAGAAGGAAGCCTGTGTATGCCAGTCAGAGATGATTTCAGATGTGCATTTTAAAATGTTTTATATAAAAGTCAAAACAGAGAGGTACCTCATCCTAAACAACAGCCCTCTATAATTCTGATTAAAAGACAACAGACTTTCAGAAAACATTCATAGTCAACAATGTCTTTTACTATACATCTCAGATTTATACATTTCATATATGCTTTTAAAGCTTCAATTAATAGTTCAATACAAAATAAAATATGTATATATATTTATATATGTGCAGCAGTGGTTCTCAGGCACAGGATTTAGGAGGAAGATGGAGGGGGTCTTTCCTTGGCATGTACTGCACACTGCCAACCATGATAGTGGAACGCGTCCTTCTGACGTAGCTGCCTTGATTGAATTTTACTATGGCAAACAGTTTGAACATGTATGCTATTGCTCATTGAACGATGAGATCTGAAGTTTATAGCCTGTATTTTCATGAAGTCTTTAAGACCTAAATGATTACTTTCCTCCTAATAGAGCTCCAAGATCATCCTATGAAAATATTATGTCCACAAACTATCTGGAACACCTGCCTAAGAACCACTGCCTATGGTTATTCAATGTCCTCGGGCCTCACAGGATGAGGTAATGGTATGATGGATTTCTTCTCAGTGTCCCTGGAGAGCGCTTTCCTCATATCTGTTGGGAGCAAAGATTAATGTAAGCAACCAATATTAAATGTCTTAAAATCAAATTGGGTGTATGGGTTGAGTTCCCATCAGGTTTGTGCCCTCTCTGCAATCCTATTTAAGTGTAATATACTTAGAAGATTCCCACCGTAAGTATGCCAAGTGCTAACCAAATCCCACCCTAGGAGTCAACTAACGTAATGTTCTTTTCGTAAAAGAACACATCTGTATCATGAAAAGATAATTTATAGAAATTAACCACTGGTTGGTTAATCTAAGTTAACTACTATTAAGCTCATATGTGATTCTTTTGAATGTATTAAATTTATTAGGCCTGGCAGGGGAAATAACTATTTTGACTTTCTCTTGAAAGCAGGAAGCTTACCGTAGGCATCCTCATCAGGCTCCCCATTGCTGGCTGAGTAGTACTCTATGACTGTCCTGTAGACACTGTAACCCAACTGCTTATACATGTTGACTGCAACATGATTGGATACTCTGACGAAGAGATCAACAAAAAATCCACCTTTTCTTTAAAAAAAAGAAAAGAGAAGAGAAGAAAAAGGAAATGTTAAAACTGTAAGAACTCTAGGCAATCACTGGTATACATCTTTAAAAATACTAGTGTCAGACAGACTGGCTCATGTCCATAGTCCTAGTGCTTTGGACTGACTCAGGAGAATTGTGGGTTCAAGGCTGGCCTGAGCTACAAAAGGGCATAATTAATATTTGTTATCTGAGTTCTTGACTACTCGGGCATGGTAGTAACAACCTCGCAGCTGACATATTTTATAACAATTTTTACTTTTTAGGTTTGTTTTGTTTTGTTTTAGTACAGAAAAATGACCCAAGTATAGCTGTTTTAGGATCCTGGTGAGAGCCAGACTTCCTTTGGTCGGTAATATGTCCTCCTTTTGAAGGTCTCCAAATTCTTATTTTGTGTCCAGGCTATTTTCTCCTTGTTTGCCAGCTACTGTTAAGGTTTCATTTTGTTTTTGTGAGATAAACATAATCACAGTTTTGTGAGTGATCTCAGTAATGATCCCTCCTGAGTTGCTGTGGCTGTTATCTTCATTTTGTTTAGCCATTCATTGTATGAATATACAACTTGCCCATAGTCCTCTAGAAATATTTCCAGATCTATTACAAAGGATGTTACTATGGATACTTTTGTTGAGCATCCCATGATACAGTATCTAACGAAGGATAGATATATCATTGCTGTCATGCACATCAGCTTGATTAACTTCTAACCTGTTTATTTCAAGGATACTCCTAGTATATGAGATGATGTATCTTGATACAACATTAATTTGTATTTCTAATTACTAATGAGATGATTATGTCAACTGACCATGAAGATTTCTCTAAATGGTACAGCACTTACTGACCTTTCAGGTTTTTTCCCAGTGGCTATCTTGTGTTTTTCTACAAGCATCCATTGTGTTCCTTATATTTAGGTGAGCAAAGTCGCTCCACTTAGTAAACATAGAGCAATGAGACTTCCCTGTATGATAACTGTTGCCAGTGTGCTTCAGAAATTGCCTACACTGACATCATGGAGACACTTTCCATATTGTACTCAAAGTAACTTTTCCTCATCCGTGCTTTTTTTGGGACAGGGTTTCTTTGCATAGCCTTGGCTGTTATGGAACTCACTCTGTAGACAAGGCTGGCCTTGAATTCAGAGATCTGCCTGCCTCTGCTTCCCTGAGTGCTGGGGTTATAGGCATGCTCCACTGCATCCGGCTCACATCCATGTTTTTAATAAAGCTGGAATTTATATGTAGTAAAGTAGTAATCAGGGAAACATTTTGCTCATCCACTTTTCCCACCATCTTTACTGATCTCTAATACAGCCTCAAGTATGCCAAGATGCATCTACTCTTAGACACATTTCTCATGTTCTAGTTCTCTACTGTCACAGCTGCTCCAGCACCAGCCTAGTGTTGCTGTTTCTTTTGTGTTCTATATTAACCCTCCATTAAGACTCTGGGTATAATTACATTGGCTCTATGCTCAGCCAATGTAGTTTTAGCTAGTTTCTGTTTCTATCTAGGTCGGTCACTTTAATGTCTCCCCATAAAGTTTTATAAATGTTAAGAATGCTCTTGCAAGGTTTTGCTTAGACTTTTCTCAAGCAATAATGCTTCTGATGCCAATTTCAATACCTTTTTAGGTTTTACTGTTTTGAATATTGAAATCCATTGTTTTTATTTCATCCTAAGTACTTGTTTTCTATCTGTGACAGCAATTTCATTGCCCCTCAATCCTCTTCCATTTTTTCTTACTTGGCTTTGCTGTCTAATTTCCAGTAAATTAGGAAGAGGGGCTGACTGCACATCCTTGTCCTTGGATGCAAATTACCATTAAACATTCTACACGGTTTCGTAGAGACTCTTCTTCAGGATGCTCTCCTAACTTCTATCCTCCAGACTGCTACGAAATAAACCGCACCTAATGAATAACAGTTGTTCTTCAAACACCCTGGCTCCTAGTATATCATTCTTTTAACTCACTTAAGCTATTTACCAACAGTTTTTTTGTAACTTGTGCACTCTGGTGACATTTCCTCAGATTTTCCTTCCTTATCAAGGAAATCTCAGCCTAAAGACTGGTTTTGCTTATGTAAAACTGACCGTACTTATTACTGGGGATAGCCCAGACTTAGTTTCAGAACAATCCTCCTGAGTGCTAGGATCATAGTTGTGAGCCACCACACCTGGCCTGAAAGTCTGATACAGCTTTTGTAGAAAAAGTCTAGCTAAGTCTAAGAATGACTTTTAAACTGACAGATTGCTTAGAAAACAGAAGAAACCTGTGCGGCAGATGGTACGCAGCTGCAGCTGCTTTGGAGAAGGTTTGCTGACTTGTATGTTCTGTACCTTGCGTTGATTGCCACCTGACAGTTTTTACAAAGACATTCAGATCTCATTAACCATTTGTCCAGTTTCCAGGGTGTATAACATTGTCACATTAAAAATCCTCGCTGAACATGCATATTTATATAGAATATAAGCACACCAGGGTACACATGTAGAGGTCAGAGAACAACTGTGGATCTTTATCTTCCTGCCTTGCTTGTTCTCTGTATGTAGATCCAGCTGCCTGGCTTCAGGGATTGTCTCTATCTCCCATCTTGCTTTAAGAACAACTGAGCCAAGAGGCATGTTACCATGTCCAACTTTTTTTTTTTTTTTTTTTGTGGGGGTGAGGGATGTTCAAGACAGAGTTTCTCTGTGTAGCTGGCTGTCACTCTATATAGACCAGGCTGGCTTTGAACTTCCTTCTGGATACCTTGCTTGGATTGAAGGCATGAGCCACCATTGCCTGGCTCATGTCCAGCTTTTTACATGAGTTCTGGGATCTGAACACAGGTCCTCAGCTTGCATCAAGCCATCTTCCCAAAAAGTTGTTTATCTGTATACAGTGGCCTATTACTGGTGGTAGTGACTATTCAACTACAATGTAAATATTAGTATGAAAAAAATCAACTTATCTTTGGCTATAATTTCAAGATAATTTGATATTTTCAATCTGTATAACCTTATATAGTTCCTATTAAACAGAATATGCATTTGTTTTTTCCTTTGACACTGCTAAGGATACAACTCAGGGACTTGTACTTGACTACTGAGCTCCATCTGTCTTTTCAATGTAGTCATTATTCACTCATAGCTACTTAATTTTTATTACTGTTTATTCCTATATCAATTATATTTATTTTAATGTGCATCTAAAAAAGACATGAATATAATATATATGCATGTTCACACTCACAGGAAACAATGAAGCCTCAAACTGGAAGGGAAGAGAAGTTAATAATTACCCAAACAGAATACATTATGTTCAAGGTTAGAGCAATTTCCCCTTTGCCTGTCTTTCACACAATGTCATTAATAAATATACATCCTATCTTGCCCAAAATTTTCTTCCTTCTTATAATTAGTCCAGGGAGAACTTTATGGGTTTTTTGGTTGTTGTTTGGTTTTTATTTTTAAGACCAGGTTTGTGTGCGTAGCCCTGGCTGTCCTGAAACTCTCTGTAGACCAGGCTGGTCTTTAACTCAGAGATTTGCTTGCTTCTGCCTCCCAGTTGCTAAGATCAGAGGTGTGCACTACCTCTGCCAGGCTTCAGAGAGAACTTTAAAAACCACAGACTTTTTTTTTTTTCATGTAAAAACTATTTCTTTGCTGGGCATGATGATGCACACCTTTAATCGTGGCACTCTGGAGGCAAGGCAGACAGATCGCTAGGAGTTTGGTTTACATAGTGAGTTCTAGGACAGCCAGAACTACATAAAAAACCCAGTCTCAAAAAAAAAAAAAAAATTAAACACACACACAAAACAAACAAAAGCCAGAAATAAGTTTTTTTTTAGATCTGCAACTGTCCCCTTTCATACATTTTTTTAGGCAGAGGAAAGAAACAGCAATTTGACAAATACCAAACACAGGAATCTGCTGTCCCTTCTAGAGAATGGGGGAAGAAGCCTTCTCTTACACCACTATGTTGCTTTTTCTCAATCTTACAGTGAGTGATGACATAACAAGTCTCTTCAAAAGCCATATTATCGGCAGTTACCTAACTGCCTCAATCTCAGAGGGGCCACAGGATATTTAATTTTGTTTTTAAAGACACGATCTCCTATGAAGCCATGGTTGAGCTGGCATTCACTATGTAGACTAGGCTGGTCTCAGACTCAAGAGATCTCTCTGCCTCCCTGGGGATGGGATTAAAGGCATGCACAACAACCATGCTTGGCCCTGACCACAGGCTATTTTATATCTCCAGGGAAAACATCCAAACTCTACATATCCACTATTATTACTACACATTCCCTTTTGATGACAGAATTTTTATGAAGTGGGCTTCTGACCTTTGCTGTGATTAAACTAGTACTTACATGGAAACCAATGGAAATGGGTTGTGTTGATGCTTTCAGGTTTTAAGTCACTCAGTGCTCAAAGAGTACTCCCCCCTTCATTAGTACATGGCCACAGATAAAAATAAAGGACTTAGAACACTCTATAAAACATGTCTAAACATGGAAACTGTTAGAACAGAAACAAACTTAACTACTTTGGACCTAGAAATATCTGCCATAGTGCCAAGAACACCAGGGACCTTTCTTGAAAGGTCGGTCTTTGATTCCAACCAGTTAGCTACTCAAGTATTTATGGCCAGTCACACACACTACATTTATTTTCCTCGATGGCGAAAGGGGCAGCAATGGTAATACTATGAATTTGGCAGAATTGTAGGAACTACTACAAGCTGAAAATGAAATTTCTTTAAGTCTAATGCCTGACAGTTCTTCACTTTCACAAAAAAGAAAACCTTTCAGATACTCAATAACAAAAGAAAAAGCAGGGTTCATAAGCCACTTGGTGTATTTGAAAAATGGGCTCTCACCTTTCTGAAATTTCCTCTAGTAACTCCATAAGTTTAGCAGCCAAGCCAAGACGGCGGAATTCAGGGGCGACAGACAGAGCTGTGACGTGTCCGTGCCACTCCTCCCTAGCTACTGAGCCTTCTGCTTTTCCCATAACTGCCAACAACAAAAAAAAAATTTGCATCAGTAATTCAAACAGCAATTTGTACATAAATGCATAAATACTTTGCTATCAGTTTCTTTTAAAATAAAAATGTACCAAAAATTAGTGCTTCAATTTGAAACTCTACTCACAAATGATACTCTATACCTACTTCTAAAGTCAGACTTAAATTTAAAAATGAGCCAGGCATGGGAGCGCACACCTTTAATCCCAGCACTCAGGGAAACAGAGGCAGGTGGATCACTGTGAGTTCCAAGGTCAGCCTGGACTACAAAGTAAAGTGAGTCTAGGTCAGCCAAGGCTACACAGAGAAACCCTGTCTCAAAAAAAAAAAAAAATAATAAAATAAAAACCAAAAACAAAGATATTTTTTGTTCGAATAAGCTACATTTGAAATAGACTTAGGATTTTTTTTCAAATAGCTACAACTGAAATTACATTTACAGTGTATATTTAATTGCAGCAATTCACAGCTCAGGTTTTTGTTTACAATTGTTAAATACATATACTTTAATCACTGCTTTAAATACTGAGCAAACCATACAGAAATCTAATAAATGAAATTAAAGATACAAAAAGACTGCATTCATGTCTGTTATATTCATTGCTATATCTCTTGGCCTAGCACAAGGCTAGACACATAGAGATGAAGTGATCTGAAAATTTCTATCCTGAAAATATTCTATCATGGTGTACATCAAATTCTATAGAGTAAAGCAGACTGAAGCCTGCATTAAAGTCTTTACTCACCCAAAAAAGTACTAGTGGTACTGTACTTACTATAACCCATTAGTTCTCCACCGGGTGCCTCCGCAACGATGAAATACTCTGGCCAGTGGGCAAGGTACTGTAAGTAGAAAGGTATCCCATACTAGACCTGTTAAGGAATATGAGAAGTAATAAGCAGCAAAAGGTTCCTTGTTACAGGATATGTTGGTGTGTGTGTTCAAGGGATGGGGTATGGGGTTCACTTAAAAATACACTATCAAATAGCCAGGCATGGTGGTGCATGCCTTTAATCCCAGCACTTCAGAGGTAGAGGGAGGCATCCTGATCTGAGTTTCAGGTTAGCCTGGCTTACATGAGTTCCACGACAGCCAAGGCTATATCCAGTGACAACACAAAAATTGCTTTCAGGCTGGAGAGGTGGCTTGGTGGATAAGGTGCTGCCAGCTGAAGACTGAAGCTCAGATACCTATCACCCACATGAAAGCTGGATGGGCACCGAGGCCTGTGTGTAATCCCAGCACTTGGGGGAAGATGTCAATAAAGTGGGGAGGGATTAAGGAAGACAAGTGACACCAGCCTCTAACCTCTAGCACTCTTCACACAGACATGCAAAAGAAAAGCACTGTCACTTTACCCTCAGCTGAATACACTGTAATTTCTTATAATCATACCATTACATGGAATATTTACATCAATTTTAAATCAATTGCCTAGGCATCTCTCCTCAGACGTAGAACGGGTATGGTATCATCTAGTAGAAAGCAACGCTCTAGTCTGCCTTCATTCTGATCAGATTGTACCTAGGGCTATGTGTGCCATTTATTATCTGAGATGACTTCTTGTTTATAGTCTGTTACTCTGCAGCTGGAAATTCAGATTCTCAGATTTACTCGGTTAACGGCTTGGCACATTGCTGCCCTGTACATTCATATTTCCTGACGTGCACTGGAAAGTCAATGGCTAGTTTCTACTTTGACTGCAGCTACACAACTATTCCATGTGTTCAGGAATCATCTAGGTTCAGAGGAAATGCCTGCCTGGCTTGGCATGTGCCTGTAACAGCACTCCAGCAGAAAACAGAACCAACTGTAGTTCAAGCCGGACACAAGACGAGACCTGTTTCTCAGAAAGAAAGAGTAAATGATTACTCTTTAACCCTGGAGTATCCTTACTGCCATGTTTGTTTCACTTTACTGTAAGCTTTCTGGTGCAATTACACAAGACACTATTACTAAACAGTAATAGTAAATACACACTTTCTGCTAAAAGTTCCCAAGAAAACCTCACTTGTGTTAGTCTTCAAACTCGCCTCTGAAAAACTTCCAGAACTCAACAAGCCAGGCCAGCTGGCCTTCCCTGGAATCCATCAACTGACACTACAACCATCTCTCTCCTGCCTAATGGAGGAACCCAGAGACCACCCCTCGAAATCCCCTCTCCCTGCATAAACACTAAGGTTTACACATTCAAAGTATAGGGTGATTTGCAATCTATTTTCCCTTACAATACAGTGAAAATTTCTGTGATACAAAATTCTTCAAAACCCTAGATCTACAAATCAGCACTTCGAGAGCTTTTTCCTTTCTCTACTCCACTGTTTTTGATGTGGCCTCTTGATACTTGTTAGTTTTTCTTGCTGTACAGCATTCCCTTGCTTCATGACACAATTTAAACACTTTATCTCTTTCCCAGGAGTCATCTGAGTCATTTCTAATTTCTAAAAATCCTTTAGAACCTTTATTGTCTTGATGAAAATAGCTTAATTTATTTACCATTTCCTTATTGGTGAATGACATTCCAAATTTTTGTAATTCTCTTGAAATAATTTTTGTGATGCCATGTTTTTGTTAATGGACAAAATTTTGTTAATGGATATGAGGTGTTAGGGACTAACAATCTGCTGTGTCTATCTAAACTCCACAGACATTATGCAGATCAACTAACATGGCTGTATCCCAGTTATTAAAAAAAAAAATTAAGAAATGAGTGGTGAGCCAGGTTTGGTCCATGCCTCTTATATTTGCCAAACCCTGGAGGAAACCACCTGCTGAGTCTTATTTTCAGCGTTCAGGAAATGGCATTACCAAATACATGCCTAAAATGCTTTCCGAAAGATTGTGCCAGATGTCCTTCACCAGCAGCAGCACTAAGCTGTACTGGATGATCTGACGAATGAAGCAGGGTTCTCAGATAGTTTTAGTTTGCATGTCTTCTGACTGGTGAGACAGCCCTATTCATATAGCCTCTGCCCTCTTGAAACTACAAGCTAACACCTCGACCTGCCAGCACTAGTCAGTAGAATTTGGTCTAGAAATCCTCTTTGTGTCTTAAGCCCCTGGTCTGCTGTTACTGCAGCATAATCAGGAATACCCTAACTTAACACATTTTTGCTCATTTTCTATGGAGATGATAGACTCTGCTATTACTAAAATCCTTTACTTACTTCAGTGACAAGTCAGGAGGCAGGTCCTGCACAGTGACAGAGAAGGGCTTAGAGTATTTCCCGAAACCATCCCCTCCCCTCTGTTGGCTGCACAGCCAGAAACAGATATGAAGATGTGTTCTGGAAGCCATCCAGACCAAAAGGACCTGGGCTCTCGTGCACAGGGCTACTGGAGACGACATGAGCATTTACTCTGGGCTACCGTCCCCTAGATGTGATTCACAGCAGAGGGAGATGGGCCCTGAACCACTGTGCTGTTTGTTGCTGTGGTCTGTGTGCAGCCAGGCTTACTGTGGGTGGGCAAGGTGAGCAGCAGCGCTGCAGCTGCTACTTCAGATCACAGACATGTGGGCAAGCTTCAGACCACATTCTCTCAGCTTTGTGATTGCTTTCAGTGTTATTTGTGCTGTTCAAAACCTACGTGGTTTATTTACACTTTTTTCAGTACTCATCTGCTTTTTCTTGTTTCTCCAATTTTCTTTTTCTTCATAATTCTCAGTTTTACTCTTTTTTCTTTCTTTTTTTTTTTTTTTTCTGAAAAAAGGATACAGTTTCTGTAAGTGGATCCAAGTTACTGAAAGAAACAAGAAATGGCAAGAGTAAGAATTCTGGAACCCAATTTATTAAGCTTTTGAAAACAAAAGATTATGTCAATCAAAACAAAATGTGGGCTGGGCATGGTAGTGCATGCACACCTTTAATCCCAGCACTCCAGTGGCTGAGGAAGGCCAGCCTGCCTGGTCTACAAAGCAAGTTCCAGGACAGCCAGTGCTACAAAGAAAAACAGCTCTCAAAAAAACAACCAAACAGAAAAAAAATATTTCTTCTATAACTCCAAAACCAACCTGAGGACTAAAGAAGATGGTTTAAATGACCCAGTGGTCACATGTACACCAATAAAGGGACCTGTACTTTTTCATTTAACTGCATCTTTACAAGCTGAATTATAGCCAACTCCATCCAACTCTTGCACCTTTGCAGACTGTGTCTCATACACATAGCCAGTCCAACTCACCTGCTTCCCACTGCACCATCCCTGGGTATCCCTGGCCTTCCATTACAATTTCTCCTTCTCAAAGTGGATGTGAGTCCTCCCCACCTCCACTTTTTCTCTTCCTACAAATCCATAATTATGGACCCCATGTACTTTTACCTGAATTTCACTGTACCTCCATTGTGCTACCATCCTGTTAAACCTTGGTACGGCGGGGAACTACCCAACATGTCCCATCATACAACCCCAAATTCAGCATTCTTGAAAACCATCTCCAATCATCTCACCCTTCACTTCCCTACTCAGTGTTTTGACAGGCTCAAACCAGCCATTTTTAGCCATTTCCCTCTCTTGTCAATCTTTGAGACTCTGAAGGATGTCAGGCAGCCATACAACATTGCTCTAATCCAGTAGTTCTCAACCCTTTAGGTTTCAAAACCTGTGGCGATGTACTATTATGGAAATACCTCTTATATCCTGAGACCTGAACTTTTGCTGGACCTCACAGCTAGAGTTGCTAATATACCCTGAAATCACTTAAGTCTGTTAACCTACTGTGTTCTCAGCCTGTTTAACCTGCCTTTAAGAGAGCAATGTAGCAGTCAACCTTACTTGCCTTGGATTTCCCATGTAATCAATTTTTAGAACCTGATACCTAACTGTAACCCTAAGTTATATACTCTCCCATGCTCCATGACCCAGAACAATGCATGTGTGTCACTTGCAGAAAACAGCAAATACAGAGGTTGAAAGCAATCTTCTAAAATGAATATCTTTCATAAACACAGTGTTTGGATATTGCTTGATAAGTAATGATGTATGTGATGCTGTTTGATCAGTTGGGATTAGCTGGACCCAGAGACTGAATCCCTTGTAAAACTGTTACAGATTTCTGTAAAGTATCCCTTTTTATAACCATGTGATGCTTTCTGTGCTGTTCAATAAAGACTGAGTGGAGCTCTTTGTGAGGGACAGAAACAGAACACAGAGGCAGATTCAAAAGACAGCCTTCAGGCAGGCAGAGATGAAAGCTCATGCAACAATCAGGACAGAGGGCACAGGGAGCATGAACAGAAAACTGAACTCTGGATTTGCTCTTGCTTAAATGTCACCAAGAGGAAGTGTTTTTAATATCTTTCCTTAATGCAACACTAATGTGGGAGCTTTGTGTTTAATCCATGCAAAACCCCACCTTACATTGAAGACAAACATTTATTTATATTGTGTACCGGCTGGTTTTTGTCACTGCAAACCTAGGCAACTGGGAAGAGGTAATGTCAATTGAGGAAAAGCCTCCCTATAGAAAACATGAGGCATTTTTCTGGATCACTCAATGGTTGATGTGAGCCACTGTGGGTGGTGTACCCCTGGGCAGGTAGTCCTTGGGTGTGTAAGAAAGCAAACTGTGCAAGCCAAGGGAAAGAAGCCAGCAACAGCACTTCTCCATGAGTTCCACATTTCACTTCCTGCCTACAGGTTCCTGCCTTGGGTTGCCTCAGTGGACTCTGACCCAGAATATTCTGACCAATGTTTCATGACAGCAATAGAAACCTTAAGATACACAGCTATATAAATATTTTCCATTTTAACTTATTCACTTAAAAATAAGTAATTACATGTTGACATGAATAATTTTACCAAGCAATATAGTAATATAAGCAAAAACCTACTGACAGTGGCGTTGTAGTTTTTCAGTGTCGAATGCTTATTATTGAGAGACTGCACACCTGTTTGTAGGCAAAAGCACCCTGTTGGCACTGTGAGAACAGCTTTGACCTCAGTCACAAATCAATCCTGAGGCCTCTGTGCTGTGGTCCTGCCCTGCAGAGTCCTCACCCTCCACTGCTCAACTACTTTACATCTTTGGTTCAGCTCACCTCTCCAACAGGCCACCGTTCCTCCACCTCCTTACACACACGAAGATGCAATAAGAACACTTTACCCAAGGCCTTCAGCTGACCTTGCCCACCCAAAAGCCTCTGCACCCAGATGCTGCTTGCTCTTCTGTCAGTATAAGGCTGGCAGGGCCCCTCTTCTCACCACAGAGGACAATTCTCTTACAATTCTTTCTCTCCTGTATTTATACCTTCCAGTTCTTTCTCTCCCAAAAGGAGTGTGTAAATGCAGCACACACTTAGCCATCACCATCTCCTGATAGTTCCCCACTCCTGACTGGAGTCCTCAGGTTAGTTAGCTTCTGGAATCCCATCTCTTTTCCTCCCACCTCGGTCTGATCTATCGGTTTAATTTACTGTAGCACTTGGCATTCTGAGGGAATATTGTAGGGTTGTTTGTTTTGAAAACACTCATTCCATCACTGATGTCACCAAGCTTCCTGGCCACCTGTCACTATCTTCAGAAGGTTGATACTCAAAGTCCAATCTTTACAGCCACTGGGCTTCTCAATGCACTTGTCAGAGAAGTCTCCCAGACCCAGGCCTGGGAGCTCAGGCTCATCTCCTTAGCTTTGGCACTTAGACTCTCACAGCATAGGCTACTACGTCCTATCCAGATAGGCAAACACTGACCTGAAGTCTCCACCCCAGGTTCCCACGATTCATCTTATGTCCCCTACATCTTCTTCAGGGTCATCTTCCCGAGTGCCCTACCCAAAGCTGTACCCCTTTCTCACTTCAGTTTCTGTCCCCTGCTTCTTGTACAGCTATATGTATATTTACCTCTTATCATCTCTATATATCACACCTACCTGTTCTCTGAGATATAAATTCCATAGACACCAACTTATTTCTATTCTGTTCACAGCTGTCTCCAGCACTGGTTGCTTCTTTCGATCCCTATACCACCACCTAGCCTGGTGACTCACTCTTTCCTAACATGGCCCACTAACAAAATGAGAAAGTGGGCTCCTTTATTGGCATTAACAAGAGAGGCACAACTAAGCCAGGTGACGGAGACCGAATGTTTAATAAGTGCGTGTGTGTATTTTCCTTCTACTTTATCCATTCCCATATTAAACCATTATTTCTTCCTCAAGTTTCATTTGAAACTTACCTGTCTATTCCTAAAGCTTCAGGCACTGTATCATCTCTACAGCAGCTCCCATCACTCTAGGCCATTGCCAACGCCTCCTCCATGGCTTAGCTGCCTTTTTACTGCCTCTAATCAATCACCTTGTCCTCACTGGCTCAGAATTCAGGCTGAAGCATTTGTAAACACCATGTGTCTGACATCTTTACAGACCTCCCGATCACCACTCCCTAAACAACAGTATTGGAAGTGTCTATAAAACATGTACATCGTATTATCTGAGCACTCTACTGGTAAGTACAGTACTTGGTTATATGCTTGGGTTACTGGCACTACAGCACTGTGATAAGGGGTCGCACATCACTGGACTCTGGTGTACTCTAGAAGCAATCTAGAGTGATTGCCGTGATCCACGAGCCTCAGTCTGAGTGCCAGGATCAACTTTTTCATTTCTTTAATGGGTGTGGGTGATTAATGTATGTCTATGCACCACATGTGTGCCTGGTGCCCACTGAAGCCAGAAATGGACATGAGATCCTCTGGGAATGGTACTGCATACAGTCAGCTGTTAGCCTCCATGTGCATGAACCGGTCCCCTGGAAGAGCAGCCAGTGCTGCTCTTAACTACTGACCCATCTCTCTCCAGCTCCACAGGACCAATTTTTTAACCACCAGGGCCAGTCTCCACCTGCTCCCACATCAGGGCTCTGGGTGCATGCAATGCCTTCACCCATAAACTGAGGACATGAGTACATGACAGAATCTGTGGAGATTAAACAGCTTAATATTACATGAGCCATAGGTGTTAAATGTGATGAGGATTCAGCATAAGCTGGGCCTAATAGAAATCACACAGGCTCCATCTTAACCTATCAACGTGGTAACTGAAACTGGCTTCACCTGTTTCTCACCTGCACCCTTCCCCTTAACTTCCTCCTCGCTGTATTTCCTTCATCTCCTCTTTGAAATGTCCGAAGTTATCTCGGGCCAGTTTTTCCCTGAACCACCTAGTCGTCGTCCTCACTGCCCTGTCCTATGTAAAATAAGTGTGATTAAACGTATGTCAAGCAAATAATCGCGGTGATGTGGCTACAGAGTTCATGGTGCAATGCTTAACCTTTTAAATGGTCATAAATTTCCAAACTTAAAAAAAAAAAAAATGAGTGGGAGATAACTACAAATCGCAGGTCTTTTAGACTTGGACTGAAAAGAAACTACACCAAACCGGGGGTTCCGGGGTACAGTGGACCTCCTACAAAAAAAAAAAAAAAAAAAAAAAAGTAGTCTAGCTGGGTGTGGTGGTGGCACGCCTTTAATCCCCGCACTAGAAATAGAGGAAGACCGATCTGTGAGTTTTAGGCCATCCTGGTCTACATAGTTCCCGGAAGGCTGAAATACAAAGTGACACCCTGTCTTTAACAAAAAACAAACCACCAACATCAAAAAAGGCAGCCTACTTCGGGGCGCTCAGCTACAGTAACTACCAAGCACAGACCGCTGGGAGGCCCGGAGCATCGCAAGGTTACTTCACTGGGATACAATTTAACGCGCCCGCTCGCGGCCCACCCTCCTCGGTGAGCCGGCGTCAGGGAGCGGGCGCCCCGCGTCCAGCCCAGCTCTGCGTCTCCCCGGCGCACCCCGAGCGCCGCGCCTCGGCCAAGGTGACCGGCCAGCGCGCCCGCGCAGCGCCCACCCGGCCCTCGGCCCCGCGAGGCTGACCCCGGCCCGCGCGGCGAAGGGAGAGGCTGGCCGCGCCTCACTCACATGTTGTTGAAGCGGAAGAGGTCGTCGCAGGTGAAGGCCCGGAGCGTGGTCATCGCGCCGCTCCCAGGCTCCAAGCCCGCTCGGCGCGACCCAGAGCCCGCACTACCGGAAGTAACCGCGCGCGGCCGCCACGGGGCGGGACAAAGAACTACTTCCGGACCAGAGGTTGCCGGGCAACAAGGTAGCGTCACAGCTCTCTCTGGCGGCAGGAATCAGCAATCACCTCCGTGCTCCTGCAGACCCCTCCCAGAAAGTAGGCAAAGTAGCCAGGAGGAAGAAGCCGGGTTCACGAAGCCAAATCATAAACGCGTGCTTCAAAATCATAAAGTTGTTTCACAGGGTGAGCCAGGAAGTGCTCCCTAAAACAAACAAAAAAACACATTAAATTTTTTTAAAGGTTAAAATAGTGCATACCCAGTCTACCTAAAATATCATTCCAACGTTTTGTCTATGCCAAAAAATAACAAAAAAAGGACTAGTCTATCTTTTTTTATCTTTTTGTTTTGTTTTGTTTGTTTTTATGTTTTTTGAGCAGGGTTTCTCTGTGTGGCCTTGGTTGTCCTGGACTCACTTTGTAGACCAAGCTGGCCTGAACTCACAGAGATCTGCCTGCCTCTGCCTCCCTAAGTGCTGGGATTACAGTGTGTGCCAGTGTGCCCCGCTGGAATAACTTATTTTGATAATAAGACTTTAAAATCTGGTTGTGTGTGTTTGCAGTATATTTTAATCTGAGAGAAAAATGATTAGAATTATTTCTTTTCAATACTGATTTTATTAACATGTGATTAAAGAGCAGATCAAGCCAGGAATGGTGCCTCATGCCTTTAATCCCAGCACTAAGTAAACAGAGACAAGCAGATTTCTAGTGAGCCTGAAAAGCCTTGGTCTTTTCCAGGTGAGTTACATTGAGTTCCAGGTCTACCAAGGGTGTATAGTATGATCCTGTCTTAAATAAATAAACAAATACAAAATAAAAAAGATAAACAAGTCATCAAAATAATCCAGACGTGCTTCCAAATAACCAAACATTATTTTCATGTCTAATTTTAAAATAGTTAAAATTAAATGTTAGGAATCACATCCTTTGGTCTGGCCCGCTGCATTTTAGGCATCGGATAGCTGCATGGGTGGCGGCTACTGTAACAGACAGCATCGACCCAGTGACTGAGAAGACTGTATACCGTCAGATTGGGAAGCTGCATTCTCCTCATCTCTCTACTAAACAGCCACTGGGGTGGTCTTGGAGAACCTAAGAGAACATGCTGCAGAGCTCAAACCAATTCAATTAAGATGCTTAAATTCCAGGGGACTCATCTCTAACTCCTTTGGGGCCCAGTTGCTCCAGAGGTGTCTTGGGGACTCCTTGGCCGAGCTTCTGGGCCAGGCGTGACAGGGAAGAAAACAAACAATTGAAAGAGCAGGCAGCCCTGATAGCTCGGCTCCAAGCTTCGTTTCTAAACCTGATGGAGTAAATAACACAACAGGTAAATGGACAAGCGGGTGGGGCAAGCCTAGAAGTCTCCGAAGTCTTATACAGCTACGGTAGAAAGATGGACTTTGACACCATGACTTCAGCTTCTGTTCTCCATTCATTTACACAAGGAATTATTGAAACAATTCCTTTGGCAAAATATGCCATGAAATGAACGATTAAATATACATTTGAGGAAAGTTGAGGTTATAATGCTTATACAAATGGAAAAATGGACAAAGTCAGAGAGAGTCTGAACTAACCAGTAGCCAGGAAGTATTTAAAATGCATGTGGTTAAAACAAACACAAAATTGGGAGGGAGATATGGGAGAAAATGAATTTGAAGGAAGGAGATGGAGATATATATGCTCATATTTCATTGCATATGTGTATAAAAATTTCAAGAATATAAATATTTTAATCCAATGAATGTAAGCAAAAGTACTTTTTCATAAATAGATATATCATTATACAAAGAAAAATATAAGTAAATACCCAGTCATGTTGAAAGGTGATCCCAGGACTGAGAGAGATGGAGAATTTTGACTTCCAGGCCAGCCTGGGCTGAATAGCAAGACCCTGTATCAAACAATAAGAAAGAAGTAAATAAATGGTAAGTGTACTCAAAACTGCTGAAATGCATATGAAGATGGGGTAAAACTGGTCAGTGTTACAGGGCAGTGACCAATCGCCACTGGACAGGACATGGTACATTCATATTCTTATGGGTCAAGAATCATTTTCATCAGTATCAATTTTCTACATCTCACAGATTTGTAAAAATAAGTGGAAGATAATAAAAATGAAAACCAGAAGAGCTTACTACTTAGGGTGTCCAGTATTTCATTTTGTTCTAACTAGTCATTCCGAAATATTTTGTCACTTCTTTCTGACGTGATCTAATGATGATTTGAATTTAGTTGGTTGTGAAATTTAGATAGTATTCATAATTTTCTTCTGGTTCTGATTTATAAACACTATAATCATCAGGTTTATAAATACTTTAAGTATAATAAAAATTTAGTTTAATTTAAAAAGAAACGACGTTGAGTTTAGCCCAGAAGCAGAACTTGATCCATGCAAGTACAAGACACTGTGAGCTACTAATTTGCAACCCATGAGAGATGGGCATGAAATACAGCTCCTGGAAGGTGGAGGGCATCTGAGCACTTAGTGAGACTGGAAAGAGAGAGGGGGGAGAGATTCTGAGTCACAAATAAGCAATACCCACTAGCTATACAGCAATAGTAACACGTGGCCGGCCACAGTAACACAGAGAAGAGCTCAAGCTGTTACCACATCTTGTTGCTGAGCACCTTCAATCAGTTAATGTCTGAAGGGGCCCAGCACACGCCCAGTGAATGGCAGTTGAACAACTGAAAGAAAAGTTGATTACATATTAGAGGGAAGCTACTGTCATGTCACGCTATGAGGTATTCAATTACAGACTAAGTCATTTCTCTTTATGCCTCCATCTTTGGACCCATGGAAGGTGTGGGGTCATAGAATCCCCTCGAGGGGTTGTTCAGAGGACACTGGTGTTTAAAACGGTCGCTGCCACCTTTTCAATGCCATAAAAGTGTTTATCAAGGAAAACCAATGACAGGAAGTACTTAGCGTGTTTAAGAATTGAAACTGTGAATGTAGATTGTAAGAGAGCAAAAACCCTCAACTACAGACGAAAGGTAGCAAATTTGCTGCAGGGGCATTGATGTATCTCTAAGCTCTCCTATGAGCTTCCTGTAACAGAGGGAAGCCACCTCCCTTCTCTCTCACTGTGCTCCAAACAGAAAAGCCTCCATGCTTGTCCTCTGCGTTTTTAAAAATACAGCTGAGGTCTACTTAAGTTTTAAAGCCTGTCTTATTTTAATAAAAACGGATTATGTGCACATTAACATATTGTAGACTTGTGGAAATGTACAGACAGGAAAGTAACAATGACTCAAATTTCTACCACCCAGAAATAAACAGTGTTTAACCTTTGAATGACCAGATACTTCTTTGCCTACCTTATGGGGAGTAGAGAAGGACTTATTTAAAAGATAACTCGGATTACTGTTCTAGATTATATATGTTAATATTAACTAAAATATTAACAGTCCTTAAATTTAGCATAGAAGAAAGAACTGAATTAAAGCTGAAGAAAAGTTGGGTGTGGTAGTAAATGCCGATTGTTCCAGTGTTTGGGAAGTTGAGGCAGAAGAATCAGTTCAAGGTCCCTCTGCTACATAAGGAGTATAAAGCCCTCCTGAGTTATTTGAGACCATATCTTAAAAAATAAAATAAAATAAAATAAAATAAAATAAAATAAAATAAAATAAAAACCAACAGGTATGATGGCCCACACCTTTCATCCTAGAACTCAGGAGGCAAAGACAGGTGGATCTCGGTGAGTTCCAAGCCAGCTGGTGCTGCATAGTCAGTCCCCACCTCAAACAAACAAACAAAAACAAACTTAAAGATGTGGTTTATTTATCATATTCACAGTGTTCTGCCTGAATGTACACCTGCACGCCAGAAGAGAGCAACAGATCTCACTATTGATAGTTGTGAGCCAACATGTGGTTGCTGGGAATTGAACTCAGGACCTTCAGAAGAACAGCCAGTGCTCTTAACCTCTGAGCCACCTCTCCAGCCCCCCAAACAGACTTAAAACTGAAGAGATTCCCAGGCTCACAGAAATCTGGAGTGCCTAAAAGTCGCCCCTGAAGCTTATGGCCATTTCAATGAATTTGCTTACACACGTGAACTGCCTGAAACTCCCGAGAGCCCCACAGTCGTTTGTAATTCTAGGACATGCTTTATTGAACTCCAGCTCAGTGCATTTGGTTTTATTTTCACCACCCAGGAAAACAATTTCTACCACAGCTGCACATTTTCCTTGCCTTCACCATCATTCAGAGAACTTTTGATTTATTCATTTACAGTGAGTAATTCCTTTTACTGCTTAGTTGGAAACTACAAGCTTTTTAACCACATTTAATCACAAAACATTTTCCTGCTCATTGAAATAACACACCATGTGCTCTCTGTAAATGGTGATGACCCAGATTCACATCCATCATTGCAATAGGCCACATTTAAAACAAGCCAGTGTTTTATGCTCCATCTGTTACTGTCCTGCTTCTGTGTCTCCAGATTATGTGGAAGCACAATGCTCATGGTAAATATATATATTGAAATGTCCTAGGCAACAGGCTTGACAATCGAACAACTTGTGTGGGTATGTATCTCTACTTAAAATTTATTTTTTTCAATGATAACTGGACAGATGGAAGCACTAACCCTGCCTGTCAATACAACTACCTCTTTTCAGTTTTGTTAACTAGAATGCATAAATGCATTCACCATTGAAATTAAACGACTACAGCTTTCAGTTAAAAAAGAAAGGCTGGATAGGTCTATTCCCTACTATCTCTTACTAACATCAAAATAAAGCAGATTTTTTTAAAGGGCTTAAAACCATTGGGAGATGTAACTTAGTGGTAAAGAGCCTGCACGCATGAAGTCCTAGGTTTAATCCAAAATAAAGTAAAATAATCCAAAATAAAGTACCAAAATAAAGAAATCCTAAATGGATTACCTGGTAAAGGAGATGCCTCCAAGCTTGTCTGCCTGGGATTTATCCCTGGGACCAAACATGGTAGAGAGAACCAACTCCTCCAAG